TATATCAAGAAGGGAAGTTGAATTATGCTCTTTTTGATAATTACATACATTATCATTATGGCATTATGCAAAGTAAGTAAGTAATTATTAATAGAAGGCACCAAACCGGGAAGGCTACGTAGCACCATCGGCATTATGCAAAAACAAACCTAACCAATGGATATCCATAATGAGGGCCACATGGTGCTGCAGCAGCCCGTCCTCATAAAGAAAGATCCAAAATCCATTCCATGCACCCGCCAAACCCCCTGTTTATGAATGAAAAACGGTTTACACACGACTCACAACTGACTTCTTTCTAACACTTCCGGAACAAGTGCTTCACTGACAAATTTTGTTGCAACCACAAGGCTATAAAATGATTCACCCACGTACTACAAATACAAATAATCACCAACAGAACCTAAACGCCTAACCTAACCAGTGCCTAAATATGCACAATATAATAATATATAATAATATTAATTTATATTTGAGAAAAATTCTGCTTTGAATGAGCAGAATGTTAAAATTGATGAATGCGTCCTTGAGTCGACCGCTGGATAGGATGGGCTTGGTCCGAGGACGGGCTGAAATTTAGACCGTATCGCCAATCATGAAGGCATGAGGACCATTTGGCCGTCAGGGATCGGCTGCCAATATCTATATCTTTAAATAACTCAAAGCTGATATTGGAAAAAGACAATATTTTTATGACACTTGATTGGATGTGATATTCTAGCATAGGTAATTATGCTTAACCCTGAAAGTACTTATGCAGCCTAATAATTTTGTGTTATTATAAATTCGCAAATACTGTACTCTCATTTCGATTCTTAGAACGTATCAAACATACATGAATGATGATGGGTTAATGAAACAATCACACAAGAGAAGAGGAATTTGACGCAATGCTTACGACAGAGACTGGCACGGGACTTGCTGGCAACAGTGACCTAGTTTTTATATACAGGACACACCCCTAAGGTCTGTCATATGTAATATCACTATTGGTTGAATATGTGGCTGTGTGAATGTGCTCGGCGGCCAACTGTGGGAATGTATACACTATGTATTTTACAATCTATATTTGTATGTGTCTCTGTATGTTTGATTTTGCATATTTACAGTGTTTCCCCAACATAGATTTATTAGTGTAGTTACTGTCATGTTTAATGTTGCAGAATCTTTAGGACACTTCAGTCCACTAATTGTACACTATTTCAGTCGTTATCTTGACATGTAGAATACAGAGGTTTCGGTGTAACAGGTAATGGATATTTTTATGCGATTGCCTTATTTACCTGTCTTTACAACAGCTACAATTTTTGGACCATTCATTACTTTTCACAAAAGGTAGGTTAACAAAAACTGTCGTTGTCTTTTCTGCATTAGTCAAGAGTAACAGATTTCATTAGTTTTCTTCTAACACAGAACTTTAAGAATTAAACACAATGTTTACAATTAAACTACATAAATGCGCCTATTATAAAAGTAATATTGACAATAATATATTGATATTAATATTAATATTGATAATAGTTACATTTCCGACGGTAATAGACAATTTATTCCATGCGTTTCAATAATATATAATTAATGAAAAATAATGGGTCGTATTAAAAGAATAAAAATAAATACTTAATTAATGTGGTTAACACCACAACCTTAAGGGACAGATTACGTACATATTAGGGCTCACCATCCGATTTTAAACACTATCTAACACTACACTGTGTTTACAAACACTATCTAACCTTACTAAACAAAACTTAACCTAATTTTACAAAACCTAAACAAACCTTATATAGCCTAACACGACCTATCGTACCTTACACACAACCTAAGCCAATCTAAAATATATTTACCGTTTTAGTAATTAGAATACGACCTATGTTGGTAACTCCTGTGTACCGTTTAAACGTACGCTTTTAGGAGAGTGCCAGTAACTGGACACAGTGAAGTTGCCTTGGAAGCCAGGCCGGACACTGCTGCACAGAGATTGTTAAGTACGCACGAAGGACCTGTTGTAATATGGCAAGGCTATCTGGGATGTGAGTGGTGGTTGGTGGTAGTAGATGGGTGTGAGGTGGTGGATGGTGGTAGTAGATGGGTATGAGTGGTGGTTGGTGGTAGTAGATGGGTATGAGTGGTGGTTGGTGGTAGTAGATGGGTATGAGTGGTGGTTGAAGAGTGTGCTTGGGTTTATGTTTGGCTTGGGAGCGTGCTTGGTTGGTGGGCGTGGGTGGTGGTCAGAATGTTTGTAGTGAATTGTGGTTGGTGAGCGTGGATAAAGCCTAAGATCAACATGGTGACTGCCACCAAGACATCACCACCCACCCCGGGCCAACCTCCCTGCGCTCGGAGGCACCTTCCCGGCAAGCGTGCAGACATTCTTGGCCGGTCTCCGCACCCAGAATACATCACACACGCAACCGCAGTCAACATTTGTATTATACTTTTTTAGTATTGTTCAAAGATAAAAAAAATAATTTTCAAATATTGTTACCAATGACTTCTAAATTGTTTTATTTTGTTTAGAGTATATACAACAATGCTAATGTTTAAAATGCACAATGTAAAGCGTGTTTTGGAGTAGGAATTTGTGGAAGCCTGCCCGTCTCAGCACGTGAGGCTCGACAAATGCGTCAGGAAACGCATGTTATCACCAAGTAAAATATTTGTTTTCGCGTGGTTGTGGGGGTCTCAGAATGTTTGGTAATATGTTTATTGTTTGTGATGTGTGTATATGTATGTATTAACACCATGTACTGAACGGGGTGAGAATAGCTTGAGCTACCTCATCCCTTTGTGCGTATTTTACCTCAATAAACTTATTTCAATTTCAGTTCAATTTCATGCGCTTTTGTTTTGTAAATCTGAGCCTCCAAAGAAAGGCGGGGGTATTGTGTTTGTTTATTTAGTCCGCTATCTGTGTTCTTTCGCTGGGTGCAACGCGCAAAATCAATGGAATCTGAGGGCGATTTTTTTTTGCATATAAAAATCATTGCAAGCTCAAGTTTAAGGATAAAGCAAGAGGTTTCAGATATCTTTCCTCTTCCATATGAAATATGAAATAGAACAGATATGAGTTTCTTAAAAGATTATAGTGCTGTAGAAAGGACCAGTTGTCAGATTTTGAACATCTAGCGTAGAGGCTATTGCAGTCTACTGAAACACATGTCTGTGCCAAACACATGTCTGGCTCCTCGTATTAAATATACATATCGATAACCTCTATTACTCCAGGAAGGTACTAGGGGTACGTGCAATTGGATCAGATTCATGGCCAGGAAGAACCAGACGTTCGAGCACGTTCGATCACATGCCCATGTTTGACTAACTATCCTGCGAGACAGATTCTTAATGTTGCATACTCAGATCTTTACACAAACTATGTGACCCATCATAGTCTACATTTCAAGATGGGTAACAGCGTCTCTCTCTCCTCCCACTCCTTCCCCCCCCCCTCTCTCTTACTCTCTCCCAATTTCACTATTCTCTCTAGCTCATCTCTTTCTCCCCCTATCTCTTTCTACCCCCTTCTCCCACCATCCCCCCCCTACTACCCCCCTATCCCTCCCTCCACTTTGTCCTACCCCCTTCTCCCTCAACATCTCCCCTCCCCTCTCTCTCTCTCTTTCTCTCTCTCTTCCCTATCTTCCTTTCTCTTAGAAAATTTGGAATTTTTGTTTATTAACACATTTAGGTACTTTTTCATTTGTGCAGCTATCCTAGACTATATGAAGGGGAGTACAGAGTGTCAAAAAGCTAGCAACGTGGTGCTGAAAAATCCCCATCACACAGGATGGTTAGCTATACAGAGGCATGTGATAAGTAGTCTGCACTGGCAGACTCTGGGTGCATTATGAGGATATCATCAACACAAGAGTAAATAAGGTAGCAGTGATACTAAAAGTCTCTATCTCGCAGGATGGTTAGTCATACAGGGCCATATGTTCACTAGCCTGCGAAAGTAAGCATAATAAATCTACGGAAATCACAACACCAGATTTCATTTTAGTCTTCATGAAAATTGCAGTTGGAGAAGGAGACTGTTGATCCCGATATTTGTTAAAGCATTACACTTGGACCGATCCTGACTGGCCTATGACACTCCCATACCCTTTATGTTTCAAGCTGTAAAGTTGGATGAGGCTAGTCAGAAGTGTGCAGCCTCCTACTTTGGACAGGCAGTCTATTTTATAGCTATTGAAAATCATTTTGAGGCAACTTGAAGTCCCTCTAATCATTTGGAGGATCTTGAACTCGTACCCTGATGATTCCCAGACGCCTGCCATAACCAACTCGGCCACGATGGTACAAAAGTTGACCATCCCCGAACTCTACTAAGTCCTCTGGGAAGTTCTGGAGGCCTCAATCCAGGGTTTTCTAGCCAACCCAACCACACTCATGCCTACTGTGTATTTCCTAGGCAAACCAGTGTTTCGGGCCTTGCCCGGAAACCTTGGTTAGGCCCCCTGTTTGAACGTCCAGAACTTCCCAGAAGACTCAGTAGAGTTCTGGGTTGGTCAACTTTTGTACCATCGTGGCCGAGTTGGTTAAGAGAGGCATCTAGGAGTCACCAGGGTACGGGTTCAAGTCCCTCCAAATGATTTTCATTGATATATTACGCCACTGTGATTTCATTGTGTTATATAGTTTTAGGCCTATTGCTAAAGAATAAAACTCCATGGGAATATAGACCTGCATTTAAATAATACACTTTTGTTTAGGTATTTGGAATCTTAAATTACAATAGTGTTATTCACTAATTAGTGCAGCCAAATGGACATCAGAAACGATTTTCAACCAGTTAACAAGTTTTCAAATCCCACAGGCTAATTGGTGTCTCCTAAATTCATACATGCACACACACACACACACACACATATATGCACACACATACTGTGTATATATATATATATATATATATATATATATATATATATATATATATATATATATATATATATATATATATATATGTATTTGGCTATTGGCGTTATTGAAAAAACAAATATAAATATTAGTTAGATGTTTAAGCTTCATGAATACATAAATTGGACGTCTCTGCAGTGTGAAACAAGAAGAGGAGGTCAGGCAATTTGTAGGTTAGAGGAATACATCTGGTCTCCCGTGATGGAGGCGAGAACAACGGGGTCCAGCTCGTTGTCACCCACCTTCCCGTCCCCTGGGGTAGAGTACTCCCCACGTTCACCCTCTGAAATGGTCAACCAACATTACAAAAATGATATTTGTCATGAACAAATGTGTCTGTAATGACCAGCATATATCTTGTATTAGTAGGCTTCTTATAATGAACTTGACCAATTTTGCTTCGTGAATAGCAACTTTATAAATTGAACTCATAATGAGACGGACATTGCAGCCAAATTAGCGTGTAACAAAGATGAAGTTGAATTAGATCTAGGTATCCCCATCTCTGCTGTCAAAACTGTATTGTACCAAACACTCAGGTCTGATAGGAGAGAAATTACTGACTCCTAACGACCTGAAAACATCAGTATAAAAAGCTATGCTTTGTTCAGATCTGAAACCTATGTTTATAGGCAGCACAAAACGTCCACCAGACTGTGCGACACAGTGGTTGCCAGGATCAGGCTGGGTTACCGTTACATGTGGCAGGTGGCTACAGGTGACAGATCTCCCAATCCTGAGCACTCCAGGTGCAAACTCTATGAGCAGGAACTGCGGCATGATCCCCTACACTACATCACCGAATGCCCAGTTATTAGACCATTCAGACCCGTTGGTATGAGGTACCTGGAGCTTTGCAATTACTTTATTCACTCTCATGTTCTTGAAGGTATCCTCATAATATTCCCAAAATTTGCCAGTGCAGGCTACTGAACATATGGCCCTGTATGACTAACCATCCTGCGAGATGGGGACTTTCAGTATCACTGCTACCTTATTCACTTTTGTATTGATGATGATATCCTCATAATGCACCGAGAGTCTGCCAGTGCAGACTACTTATCACGACTAACCATCCTGTGTGGTGGGGATTTTTAGCATCAAGTAGCTAGTTTTTTTTGACACACTGTACTCCCCCTTCGTATAGTCTAGGGTAGCTGCACAAATGCAGATATACCTAAATGTGTTAAAAAACACTTCTGGATCATCATCTTTAGGTTATAGAGTATTACTGCGAAGATATGCTAACATTCTCTTAGTATCACATCTTAGTATCACATTCTTATCACGTTGGGGTATTTGTAAGTATATTTCGGGGACCTCGCTTGCTTACTGAATGCTCAGTCTTGCTCTCGATTCAAGTATATTCAGTTTTGTTTGCTTATTGCACTACTTAATGATTAGTTTATTATCGATTAATGTTTTCATGATAAGATTATTGTGTTGTCAAGTGTTCAATAATTAGGTGCATACCGTTGGAAATACATTGTGATACGCCTGGAGAGCTGTGTTAGTCTTTTAGTTATTAGTTAGTCATAGTTAGTAGTTAGTTAGAGAGAGCTGGAGTGTTAGCTGTGTTATTGTACATTGTCAAAGAGCTTACCGTATATTTAGCATATTGAAATATGTGTAGTGTTAATTTTCTATCGCTTACGATAGAATAGTCTAGGCTAAATATACTAGGCTATTTTTTAAATATACTAGACTATTTTCAAAATATACTAGGCTATTTTTTAAATATACTATTTTCTAAATATACTAGACTATTTTTCATTATAGGGTAAGTCACCATTAGGAGACGATGACCTTAAAAGACCGGGTTTCTCATATATGCTGTCTGCTATGTATATCTTTTAATACAAATAAAATATTACTCTTGTTATCTGTATTATTCATTGTATGTCGGATCCATTAGATTCCTATTGTATAGTTTGTGGGTGTTGATGCAAATATACCGGATCTGTTTACGAAGGTCGAATTTATTACATAACCTACCCCAGTCTTGGAATATAAAGTATTAATGAGACCCTGACTTTGCTTGAGTATAGTCCGTGGCTTCATGCTGTGCATATTTGCATTGTAATGTCACTATAGGGCTAAATCACACGTTGTAAAGTTATTTAATAAATACAGTAACGCATTTACCAATGTTGATTTGTTTACGATAACTTTGCTTATAAATGCGCTTTCTCGGACTGTGAAGTAGATGTCGAGTAATGGAATGTCGTTTTTTACTTACTTAAGTGGGTAAGTTTCCGGCAAGATTCTTGTTCCGTTCCGTGCTCCAGTAGAGTTAGACGTTTGCATACCTAATGTATACTATACGCATACTCACTATACCTTATGAGTATGCGTATAGTATAATGAGTTTACATATGAGTACCCAGCGTGTGCGTATTTACTATTTGTATCTGAAGAATCGAGTTATTAACTCTTGGACCCCTTCTTTCTAGCCAATTTATTTTTCCTTATTTTATGTCTTGTTTGGGCGCCTGACAGCTGGGTGGACAGCGCTTCGGATTCTTAGTCCTGAGGTTCCGGGTTCGATAGAATATACTTTTCTACTCTGGTGGAGGCGGAAACAAATGGGCAAAATGTGTCTTTCATCCTGATGCCCCTGTTACCTAGCAGTAAATGGGTACCTGGGAGTTAGGCAGCTGCTACGGGCTGCTTCCTGGGGGTTGAAGCCATAAAGCATAAACATTTCAGCGCGGTTTGACGCTCACAGCTAACGATTGCCATAGTTTTTTATTTGGTGCGGGTCTCATGTCGAGTTTGGTGAAATTTTACATATATATATATTCCTCTAGAGCATTCTCTTGCGAACAAATTGATACCAAATTTAAATACATACATGGAATATTAAGGTGAGCAGACCGAAAAGATTATAAACATTTTAGTGTTGCCGCGCGGTCGCCCGAAACGAACGGCACACTCCCCTGATAGTATGGAGAGTGTTAACTCCCCATACTATCACAGTTACTAACATACTAACACAGTTAACTCCCCGGGACGGGAAAGTGTTAAATATATCAACAAGTTGCCTTTACCTGTAGTGTGTTGTGGACACAGTTTGTGGATGAGGAGGTGAGCGCCCACGAAGAATACGGTGTTGCCGGCGGCCAGGAGACTGGTGTAGCGGAAGGCGGTGGATCCTCCCACCGCTTCCAGCATCAGGCCTCCCACCAGCCCGCCCATGCATGCTCCTGCGTGGATAGATTGATTGATGAAGATTAAGCCACCCAAGAGGTGGCACGGGCATGAATAGCCCGTAATCCTGCGTGGATGACATCATATGGAAGATATCGTCATTGTCTAGACATAGTATCTCTGCAGCCCGTCCTCTTAAGGTTTTCCAACGTCAAAAAAACTGTCGTACTAAAGTGCCCTTACCCTAAACCTACCTGAGGAACCAAAACAGAAAATGGAAGTGTGTCTGCCTAGCAGTAAATCGGTACCCGGGAGATAGACAACTATTGTGGGATTGCATCGTGAGAAAGGTCAGTAGTGTGGGAACCGACCTGTGAGATTTATATTTATTTAATTTATATGAATTTATATTTACGTTAATTTATATACTTCGATAGCAATTTGTATAATGTTAAGTGGACTGTATTTCTGCAATAATCTCTTAATCTCACAAATCGATCCTCTACACATTAGGGGGGTTATTAAATTAATATATATGCAGCCAATCAAACTACAGTAACTACATACATTGAAAAGGTTCCTTATCTTATAGTACAGCAGGTTAGTCCACCAGGTATAACTAGGGTGTAGACACCAAATTATCCTCTTTGAGGTAGTTTCCATCACCCAGTAACTGGTGCACAAAATCTTGCATCCTCGTCTTGACCTGTCAAAAGTGCGCTAGCTGTGAAGCCAGATACCTATATATGACAAGCTATATCAGAGAAAACTGTACATGGAACATTGAAGACCTGGCTTAATTACCTTTAGTTTGAGGCTTCCACGTGATCTAACCAGGTCACCCTATATCCTGACATTAATGGCCATAAATGAATGATAAACGGGTTTCGGATAGACACTTAACTTGAATTTGTAGACAGCGTGTTGACAATGGTACACCTTTGGTTTCCATAACACTACGTCCAAGTAAATTTAACAGGAGCCGAATTTGCTCCCGTGTGAGCCTCTGGTCTCAATATAAACAATGGCTGCCCTCCTTCCCCACTGACGCCTGGCCTACTTGTCCAGATGTCAATAAGTGATAGAAGGGTCACATTTACTCTACTTTAATATTGATAATTAAGTTAATTTATATAAGATGTTTTTATGATGGTAAAGTCCAAAGACTAATGTATTTAAGAATAATTCCCACCATAATAGGTGGTGATTTATAATAGTATGTGGTGATGATATCCCGTTTTCTTTAGACGGTAATTCCACTACAAGTTACGTTTTCTATGGGTAACTTGTTTGTACAACACAGCTATTATCTGTATGATTATTAAATGGTGTCGGATTTTCCGACAAGTAGTTCGACCTTGGAGAGGGGCGGGGGACTTCGATACAAGCCTTAACTATATACACACTATACACAGGCTTCCTGTCCCGGACAAAACGACTTAATGTTCTCGAGATAAGCTACTGTTGTTGTTTTAGATTCAGTTTCCCGAAACAAAAAGTTGCAAGTAGCACGGGCTATGGTGAGCCCGTAGTAGCGGGGCTGTAAATGTGTGGTTAGGTTACATCGGGCTATTGCTGAACATTCTTGATATAGGCGTCGTCATCCTTCTGCTAGTATTGGTGACTTCTCGCTAATAGTGAATAATTACAAAAACAAAGCCTGTATATCTATCTGTGCACATAAATAGTTTATGAAAAGCATCGGCATGCAAACGGGTAGCCTCGTCTGCTCTGAACATGACACGTATGTCCTACCACATGCAAGTAACTCATCAAATAACAGTATTCCAAATGGTAATAGATCAAACGGTAGTTTACCAAATGGAAATAGACCAAAAGACAGTACACCACATGGGAATAGACTAAATGACAGTATACCACATGGCAATAGCCTAAATGACAATATACAACATGGCAATAAACCAAAAAAGCATAAACGTAGTCATGACTGGTCAGCTACACGCACCTCCAATGTACGTGGACCTGACGAGGCCCTGCATCACGGCCTGGGCGCCCTTGGGAGACATCAGATTGGCGTAGGCGGACATGTTCGGATAGAAAAGTCCGAAGGAGAGTCCGTGGAGGAGACAAGTGAGGGCGAAGAACCATGGGTTGATGACGCAGGAAAAGAGAAAGTACTGAACGCTGTACGATGCCAAGGATACTGCAAAGGTAGTGATGTTCCCCAGGTGCTTGATGATGTACGCTGTGTAAATTAAAACATGAATACCGTATTATTGAGAGTAGATTCCAGTGCTTCAAGAGCTTTGTGTTTTGTTCCTAGCCTTAAAGCCTAAAGATGTTAAAAAAAATGATATTAATAGTAAAATACTTCGCTTGAACTATCTAACCTGAGCTGTAATTGCAATATTTCATTGAGTGATCAGGGAGCGAGGATAAATTCTTGCCAGGGTCGTCTTGTACTTACACGAGAGAAACATGAAGGGGACTTCTCCCAGGAAGGTGCTGACGCCGTGAATGATGCCCTGAAGAAGCTTCATGTAAGGGAAGTTGGGGTCCCAGGCCGTGGCCACTTCTTCAATCACAATAAACTGGAAAGTCATCACCACTCCCGACACCACACCATTCACCACAACTGTCAACTGAATGATTATACAAAGTACTGTACACCTTCCTTCACTCAGGTAAATATGTGTAAGACATACTTCTTAAGGAATGCAAAACATTGTTTGAAAACTTTTACTTAGAAATAGAACAATACATACACATGATATATTTATATATCGCTTTAGACAAACAGATACACACAAAGACGACTAAACAGATTAGTAAACTAGGTTATCAATCATTTTGAAACTATGACGCTTCGCCATTGGATTTTTTTGCTGTGTTAAAAGTTAAAACATACTTAAGTTAACCATAACATAATTTAGCCTGATCTAATGATATATAGTTTTAACAATTAGGAACGGAGCAGTGTGAGACGCCTGTGTAAGACTTGAGTGATTGCACAAACTAACCGTTGTTGTTGTTTAAGATTCGCTACCTGGAACGAAAAGTCCCAAGTAGCACGGGCTATGGTGAGCCCATGCCACACACAAACCTACCCATCAGCGGTGTGTTGTGGCCGTCACCAACCTACCAGGAAGACGATCATCCTGACCGAGCAGATGGCGACGCCGAAGTGCTTCGCCTTTAACTTCTCCCTCTGAGGCAAGTTAAACTTGATCCTCGACGACGCTATCAGATTGAAGAATAATAATGTGCTACAGATTATCAAGGCTGGAGTGTAGTTGATCTGCGGCTGACCTCTAGAGTAGTAGTTGACCAGGGCTCCACTCACCAGGCCCACTACCCCCCACGAGACGCTGCCCCACATGCGCTGGCGGCCGTAGTTGTGCCGAGCCTTGCCCAGCAGCATGAAGCACACGGTGTCGGACAAGGTGGTGGTGGTGCTGTTACCGCCATACACAAAGATTAAACAGATGAATATAAACCAGAATTCTTTTCTATTCAGCATTTCCCCGAGGGTGATTTCGGGGCTTCCAGAGGTACACTGGTAGTGGCACGAAGCTGGGTACTTCTGACCACAAGTCATGTTGTAAAGTCCTGGTAATGATAGTGTAGGAGCTTCTTCCTCGATATAGACACAGTTGTCTTTTACACAGACGTTGTAAGCCGAGAGCTCATTACCAAAATCAAAACTTAAGTCGGGCAGTACATTCAAATCTTCATCTTCAGCGGTAGTGAATGAGCTTCCTGTTTGTAACAAACTGCACTGAAGGCTACAGTTAAACGTATTTTCATTTTCTGTTTCGTGTTGGCTACGTTCATTCTCCAAACTGCATTCGCGTACTGAGGGAAGAGCAGAGATGTTGAGAGGCAGAGATGGGTTGAAACACACGTCTAGACTACTGCTGTTGTCTCCACACTGAAATGAAACTGAAGCCTCCGTAGGAGCATCCGAGGGCCTGGGTATGGCAGGCAGCAGGAAGACAGTGATGAAAGAGGTGGTTAGTAGGACCATCCCCGTCATGAACATGGCCCGGTGAATCTTGAAGGCATCGGCCAGCGTGCCCGCCAGCATGCTCGTCATCAGGCTGGCCAGGGGAGTCACCGCCCACATCAGACCTATTCCCGCGTCTGAGATGCCCTTGCCACGCACCACGACGGGCATGAAGGGGAAGAACGCGATACCTGGCAAAGATTACAGCTTATGTTGACCAAACCACGCACTAGAAATTGAAGAGACGACGACGTTTCGGTCCGTCCTAGACCTTTATCACAGTTGACTTAATAATGGTCCAGGACGGACCGAAACGTCGTCGTCTCTTCAGTTTCCAGTGTGTAGTTTGGTCAACATTTTTGAGCCACGTTATTGTGACGTTTTATCTGCATTACAGCTTACGAGGTTTATTATATATATATATATATATATATATATATATATATATATATATATATATATATATATATATGTCGTACCTAGTAGCCAGAACGCACTTCTCAGCCTACTATGCAAGGCCCGATTTGCCTAAAAAGCCAAGTTTTCACGAATTAATTGTTTTTCGACTACCTAACCTACCTAACCTAACCTAACCTAACTTTTTCGGCTACCTAACCTAACCCTAGCTATAAAGATAGGTTAGGTTAGGTTAGGTAGGGTTGGTTAGGTTCGGTCATATATCTACGTTAGTTTTACCTCCAATAAAAAAAAATGACATCATACATATTGAAATGGGTAGCTTTATCATTTCATAAGAAAAAAATTAGAGAAAATATATTATTTCAGGAAAACTTGGCTTATTAGGCAAATCGGGCATTGCATAGTAGGCTGAGAAGTACGTTCTGGCTACTAGGTACGACATATATATATATATATATATATATATATATATATATATATATATATATATATATATATATATATATATATATATATATATATATATATGTATATATATGGGGAAAACCACATATGAATAATTAGAGAATGCTGACCGCGTTTTCGGCTCAAATTCGCCTTCAGAGCAAGATAGAGTCACTTTCTATCTTGCTCTGATGAAGGCGAATTGAGCCGAAGACGTGTCCAGCATTCTAATTCTTCACATGTGGTTTTTCCGCATACTTGGATCAGTGTTTTTGTTGATCATTGTTGCATGCATATATATATATATATATATATATATATATATATATATATATATATATATATATATATATATAGAGAGAGAGAGAGAGAGAGAGAGAGAGAGAGAGAGAGAGAGAGAGAGAGAGAGAGAGAGAGAGAGAGAGAGAGAGAGAGAGAGAGAGAGAGAGAGAGAGAGACTGTGTGTGTGTGTGTGTGTGTGTGTAAATCACGAAAATTAACATGTGATGAAAAATGTGTCAGACTACGGAGGAGAAATTGAAATCGGAATTTCCTTAAGTACTTTCGTATTTTAATAATACATCTTTAGAAAGAATCATTCCTTCTGAAGATGTATTATTCAAATAAGAAAGTACTTAAGGAAATTCCTGTTTCAATTATTGTGTGTGTGTGTGTATGTGTGTGTGTGTGTGTGTGTGTGTGTGTGTGTGTGTGTACTGTGAGTCTTTATTATATGGACATTGAAAGTTCTGGTTCTCCACCCACATTAACTCAGCATGTCCAGTTAACTGGGGGGTTAACCAAACACACTTATTTATAGTTATTTATACTAACACTTATTTGTAAAAATAGCATACTCTTTGGTTTCCTGCAGTCTCTTTGGTACATTCCCAATCAAAACCAATTACACATATTTTTAACACGTGTCTGGTATAATAAATGCAAAATTACGCAAATTTGGTGAACAGATGTGAGAGTAGGTGGGTACGTCTGAGAATGTTATTACCTAAGTGTAGTTACGGGATGAGAGCTACGCGCTGGACGTCACGTCTGCCCAGTACTCTTGGTCGTACGAGGCTTTGAATATTTTTTTTATATTTTTTATTTACACATGTAGGTACATCTGCATTTGTGCAGCTACCCTTGCCTATATGAAGGAGGAGTACAGCCGTATCAAAAAGTTAGCTACGTGATGCTAAAATCCCCATCACACAGGATGGTTAGTCGAACAAAGGCGTGTGATAAGTAGTCTGCATTGGCAGACTGTGGGTGCATTATGAGGATATCATCATCAACACAAGAGTGAATAAGGTAGCAGTGATATTGAAAGTCCCCATCTCGCAGGATGGTTAGTCATACAGGGCTATATGTTCAGTAGCCTACACTGGCAAATTTTGGGAACACGAGCGTGAATAAAGTAATTGCAAAGCTCCAGGTACCTCATGCCAATGGGTCTGATAACTGGGCATTCGGTGATGTAGTGTGGGAGATCATGCCCTAGTTCCTGTTCACAGAGTTTGCACTTTAAATGCTCAGGATTGGGAGATCCGTCACCTGCAGCCACCTGCCACAAGGTAACGGTAACCCAACCTGATCCTTGCAACCACTATCCATACGAATGAGATTCGAAGCCCTTTACTCTGTGCAGCGATTAGGTCATTTATAATTGTTAGTTTGAGGTTTTTGCTGTCGATCTTCCAGAAGTTGTTTTCAATTGCTTCAAAAGCAGACTTTGAATCACAAATATTATTCCTCCTCCAATGTTTTTTAATGTTCTGGTAGCTAGTTGTTGTGCCGCTAGTTCTGTTTGTGTGGAGATCAATCAGCCCGTTGTTTAACCTGACACTGATACTCTGTGTATAAATATTATTTTTATAAAACCTACATTCTACTGCAGTCCGTCCAGTAGACGACTGGACTGAGCCGTCGGTGTAGACACAGTGCTCGTGAGATTTTGAATTGTCTATGGAAGAGGCAATTGTTTTAAGTGTAATAGCTTTGAGAAGAGCAAGATTCTCATTACCTTTCTTGGTGACGGGTGTGTATGATACTTGATTGGTGGGGTACAGATAAAGGGGAATATCAGAGACAGGTAGATTGCACTTAAAAGGAATGTTGAGTTTGATGAGATTAGAAACTACTGACGGCTTTGACCTCCACCACCTTCTTACTTAACTTGTTCCAACTGTCTACCACTCTGTTTGCAAAGAGAACATTCTAATATTTTATCGGCATATTTGTTTCCTTAGTTTGAATCTATATGACCTCTTGTCTAGAAGTTACAGGTTTCAAGAATTCATATTTGTTAATTTTGTCAATTCCTGTTACTATTTTGTATGTAGTGATAGTTTGCCAGTGCCGATCACATACCTGCTAAACACAACACGACACAGGTGTACGACAAAACATCCTCAGAGAGTCTGGAAATTTCAGTTTATTTTGCTACTTTATTCAGTCAGGTGTTCCTGATGATAGCCTCATAATTCATCCAAAGTTTGCCAGTGCAGCCTACGGATTGCATGTCAGACTAATGAGGATCTTTAAGCATCTCGTAGCTAGCTCCTACAATACTATGCACTCCCCCTTCATATAGTCTAGGATGGCTGTGTAAATGCATATGTACCTAAATGTGTTAATAAAACAAAATCTATACCTTACTGGGCATTCTTCTCATCCACACCACTTCAATATCCGTCTTCATCAATGACCTTCCATAAATTCTTCACTCCACACTTACCTCCGTATTTGAAGAAATATACTATCTTCATGGGAAGTAATTTTTTGTTGATTTTGAAGGCCATGGCGTTTACCCTGTGAGACCACACTCGCCTACTGGCCGGCCACCCAACCACTCAGTCACCGAGCGACTCCCACAACTGCTGCAAAAAGGTCTATTTATCACTGCAAAATTCAGCAAAATCACAGTTGAGTTGAGCGCATTATTCTAATTTAGTTCCATGTATGATCATGAGTTAATTATAATACTGGTCTGTGCACTGTTTGTCCGTTCTGTTACAAATTACGTCGCTTTTCGCTGGTATGGGCACTCAGGCTAAAAATCCACGAATTCAAATTAAAAATCGGCTCACGAAAGTGATGTATCCAGTTTTCTGTTTTGGGTCCTCTGGCTTAGGCTGCTAGGTTACGAGAAAAACTTTCAATTAATGATTTTCATGACGTTTTAAAACCTTAGGAGAACTTCCTGCCCTCCTAACCTACCAGAGGACCCTTAACTTGCTGTTTTGGAAAAATAAAAATCCAAAATTTATTTGGAAAAAAAATTATATTTTGAATTACGTCGATATTTGGTCGTAGTGCATACCAGCGAAAAGCGACCTAATTTGTAAGAGGGCGGGTTGGTCACAAGTACATTATATATCTGCATTCAATATTATTTTTGTGATATTTATTTTCTTACTATTAATTTATTTCTTCACTTCTAAAGCTAAGATTATTTTGCTTTAGAAGTGTGATATATATATATATATATATATATATATATATATATATATATATATATATATATATATATATATATATATATATATATATATATATATATATATATATAAGTAGTACCAGTAGATACAGTATTATTAGTACAAGTAGCAGTAACGGAACAGCAAAAGTAACTACTGTGTTCACTGCTATGTAAATTAACAACATTCTAGATCTATAGTTGAGTTAAGATAAAACTTTATATCATATTTCAACTTTGTATATATTATAGTGTAATGGACGTTTTGCAGGAAGTATGTACAGTGATACAGAGTTGGTTAGGTTCTACAATGTTTATACTTTCTTTACATATTTTACTTAATAAAATAAAAGCAAAAACAATTTCAGCACAAGAATTTCCGGTATTTTATCACTAACAATAAAATAGTATTCAACATAGTGCAGTGTACATGTTGTAATGCTTTGTATTGTGTGTCTTTGTTCACACTTTACATTTCACAGGAATCTAATTCCCCGCCACAAGCTGAACGGCCAGAGACTGGTAGCCTAGTTGAATGCTAACTGTGAGAACTTCGTCAATATTCCGGTTACCCCCTTATCTCTCCGTAGACATTAGCTGATATAGCTATCAGTTCATCCTCTCACACCGTCTACCCTGTCCATATGGCTACACATCTCACACATATACGTTATTTTTATATTCATCTTTAAAATGAATATGAAAATGATTCGTACTACGTCAACTGCTATTAAATGTCAATGAAAAATTAAACCTGTCCAGAATACCATCTGGAGGGAGACTAAGGTGAGTTTATTCACTCAATGGACAACTTAGTTTCACTTCTAGTTCCTGAAGCTTTTTCAGTTTAAGTGCAGAGTATTCACGAGTAATTTTCAAAACGACCATAAATTCTCGTTCATGTAAAATATGTAGGCTGAAGAGCATATACAAGCTATTTGTTTTTGCCAATACATTGATTAGTAATTGATTCAGTTATGATAATTATCATTGCAATTATGATATTTATTTAACCTCTCTACCCACAAGGGCCAATGAAGGTACTCAAACTGATTTAGTCGACACATAAATAGGTAAATATGATAACCCTGAATCATTATGAATGAATAAAAAGGTGTAAATTAGCACAATGAGGGAAAAAATATTGAATATGGGGGTAACGTGACACTGTGGTATATATATATATATATATATATATATATATATATATATATATATATATATATATATATATATATATATATATATATATATTCAGTAATATGTGTGTTTTAATGAGGAAACTTATATAATATTATAACTGATACGTCTTCATCTTACCAGAGTAAGGAGTGGAGTGGAGTGAAGCAGACGAGATGGTGGCGACTTGTACATATGAGGCAACCAACCTTGGTCGCTATCATTTGTTTCCAGCTGTCAACCAAGGTGGAAAAAATACCATGGTTCACAGGTGCTACCAAACTCACGTCTCCCTCATGCATGAAATAATTGAGGTTCGGTTTACTCAAATTTACTGATATTTCATGACTATCATTGTGACAATTTATTGATTTACTATTTCATTATGTTACTTGGACGTGGATATAGTGTCCCGAGACACTATATCCACGTGCTATAGATGCCTCGGGTCGTAATTAAAATGAGACACGTATTTTTTTTTCAGGGATATTCCTGCGCGGGCCCTAAGCCTCTGGCTGGCCCAGTGTGGTTTATGATTTCATCTGCATGCTAATGGCCCTTAACAGGCTCTTGATGTCATCTGTGATCAGGAACTGGTTCATCAAATGTTATTTAACTATAGTTTCTTTTTTTATCGGGGCAAAACAACACATTTTCTCATTTGTACTCATTGTTTTAAACAAAAAAAATATTATATATAAAGTTGATGTGCTTTATATTTACAATACATATTTTTATACTTTATCAAGTTATATAGCCAGAATTAACTACAAAGCCTTTTTAATTTGCAACTTTATTCAAGTTAATTAAATTAATATTGGAGATGCCCTTTCGGGAGCAGGACACAAGTTTACAAGGGTTCGAGCCCAGGGGAAGGGAGGATTAATAACGGGGCATTAATTCTAAACTGTTCGACTGTTTACAGCAAATTTTGAGGACCTTGTTGTAAATCGAATGGCGTGGTAATGTTCCAGACAAAAAACAATTAGGATAAGGCATAAAATGAGCTTTTGACTGAATAATTTGTCTCTGAGCAATGCAGGAGATGTAGGGTCTCTCATGACCTTAAGGCAAAAGGTCGTGTAAAGATACAAGACTCAGCGGACCAATGAAAGTAGAACAGTAAGGGGCAGGGTTTATTTTCATCATTTCTATGGTTTAAACACGAGTGACCGAAGCGTAATACTTCTAGGCAATGATGTTTCCATTCCATGTTTTGATCATATGAGGAAAACCAGTTTAGTAAATTTTTATGTAACTATTTTCAGCAGTAGCTAATCACCAATTTTCTCAATGTTTGCCTATAGCAAAATGGGTAAAAACCGGCATATAGAAATCGTTTTTTTGCTGGTGATGGTCACTTCTCTCTAGGTTAGATTTCTCACGACTATAGGTGACTTCACCAAGCAGTTATCACAAGAAAGCACTTAGCCAGGATGGCCACATATCATCACTTGATTTGATTGTTGTTGCTGGAAACATCAACACTATTATGTACCCCATCCTGTGAGCGATAGCACAAAATAGGATTACATGGGGCAAAATAGGATTACAGAGGCCCCAAAAGATCTTTATCTGACCTCAACGGAGTTTATTGCATTAACAATTACATCCATCCTGCATACCTTATAATTATAATGTCACCTGGTTGCAGAGATTTTTAATTTTAATTAATAGTTACAACTATTATACAGTGATGGTCTTTTCGCTAATATATAACTATTTGTATACAGGATCAGGGATATTATAGGACCATCAAAAAACCTGTTGTTTATTATTATTAGTCTTCACGCTACATTCATCCTGGGGAAGCCTAGGAGGCCAGGCTTGACATCCCTTCTAACCTTCGTCTCATCTTTATCCTTCCACGAAAATCAATCACTCTACAATGCACTGTATGTAGTCTTGAGTCTCGAACACATTCCTAGAACTTATCCTTCAATGATCAAAATTCTAATCTGTACAGGTTTCATTAGACACTTAGAACATTAATAAAACAAACGCATCGCTCATTGGGTGTTTAATTCAGCCTCACGCGTCATGACAAAGAACCATCCTGATTCCAAATCTTTCTTCATTTCCTGAATATTGTGAGACAATGGGGAAACAATCGTCGTCAATAGTGAGAATCCAACGTCGACACTGGCCAAACTTCTCGTGACAGGATCATGCACACGCTTTTTTTTTATTAATACATTTAGCTACATCTGCATTTGTGCAGCTGCCCTAGACGAAGGGAAGTACAGTGTGTCAAAATGCTACCTACGTGATGCTAAAAAAATCCCCATCACACAGGATGGTTAGTCGTACAGAGGGATGTGATAAGTAGTCTGCACTGACAAACTCTAGGTACAATATGAGGATATCATCATGAACACAAGCGTGAATAAAGTAAGTGATACTAAAAGTCCCCATCCCGCAGGATGGTTAGTCATACAGGGCCATATGTTCAATGGCCTGCACTGACAAATTTTGGGTGCAATATGACCATATCCTCAATAACTCGAGAGCGAATAAAGTAATTGCAAAGCTCCAGGTACCTCATGCCAATGGGTCTGATAACTCGTTATTCGGTGATGTAGTGTGGGAGATCATGTTCCAGTTCCTGCTCACAGAGTTTGCACCTGCAGTGCTCAGGATTGGGAGATCCGTCACCTGTAGCCACCTGCCACAGGTAACGGTAACCCAACCTGATCCTGGCAACTACTGTGTCGCACAGTCTGGTGGACGTTTTGTGCTGCCCATAAACATAGGTTTCAGATCTGAACAAATCATAGCTTTTTATACTGGTGCTTTCAGGTCGTTGGGAGTCAGTAATTTCTCTCCTATCAGACCTGAGTGTTTGGAACAATATAGTTTTGACAGCAGAGATGGAGATCCCTTGGTCTAATTCAACTTTATCTTTGTTTCATGCTAATTTGGCTGCAATATCTGTGTCATTATGATGGATTATATTTATATGTGCTGGTATCCATAAAAAGGGGATTCGAAACCCTTTACTCTGTGCAGCAATTAGGTAATTTATAATTGCTAATATGAAGTTCTTGCTGTCGATCTTCCAGAAGTTTTCGATTGCATGAAGAGCAGACTTTGAATCGCAAAATATTATTCCTCCTATGTTTTTGAAAGTTCCGGTTAAACAACTGGCCGACCCCCACACAAACAGAACTAGCGGCACTACAGCTAGCGGCACTACAATTAGCTACCATGTACACACTTATACAAAGGACCAAAATGGAACAATTATCCCTGTCGTCGCAAGTGATTCCCATTCTGACCTCGGACTAGGATTCTTCAAGCACTTACGCAATCACTTATGAATCCTGTACAGCTTTCCTCAATTGTGGCGGCTTTATTTACATTTATTAAAGTTAATGAGCGAAGCACTACGAGGTTGTTTATACAAATGATAACCTTAGGTCGTGAAGTCTAGTAGCTCGTAAACTGTTTAATAAATGCAAAGTCGTCATGATTAAGGAAATATATATGTTGCGTACACCATTGGTAAATCCTGGCCTAAGCTCGACTCAACTGATGCTTGCTCGTTGGTTGGCTAATCCAGGTAGCTTATCTTATTGGTGGATTTCAAATTGCCCCTCCCTGATTAGTCAGTTCTGCCTGAAATCGAACATAAATTTAGAGTTTCTAGACGGCTTTAGCTGCTACCACTTTCAGGGGGAATATCGGGTACACAATAGAGTAGCCGTTGCAGGAGGAAAAAAATGTATTTTCTCTATCGTCAAATAAAATTATATTAATAGACTTGCAAATATACTGTACACTGTTTTACATCATTCAGGTATGTCGAAGTTTTGCAAATATATAGAAAGTATTAATTATATACAATTCATTCAAGAAGATATTGTGGACTTTTTAAGGCTCTTTAAGGCTCACAAGTGGATTAAGTTTAAAATATTTAGGGAAACATTTAAATGGATGCCGGCCATGTTGGAAAATGGCAGCAATTTCCTTCCGTGAAAAAAATTGGGAAGACCTAATGGTTTCCCAGCGTTGTGGTTCGAACAAAAGTCGTCAGCGAAGCACTTGTTCGAGAATTGTTCGAACGTCATCAGTTGTGAGTTGTGTAAACCGTTTTTCATTCATAAACTGGGGGTTTGGAGGGTGCATGGAATGGACTTTGGCCTTTGTTTATGAGAACGCGCTGGTTTCCCATTGTTGAGGACAGATAGCCTGTTACCCATTGTTGGGGAGAGGAAGTCTATAAAAATAATCGAGTTCCCTTAAGGACTTAGGTCAAAATCCTTTCGCAGGATGCAATCCACAACAGATACCAACTCCCAGTTACTTCTTTACTGCAAGGTGAACGGAAGTACCAGGTGTAAGGAAGCATACTCTAACGTCTCTTCTTGCACGGGAATCAAGCCTAAGATTTATTGCTTACGAACCGACTACGCTAGCTACCGACATGTATTAACTGAATGTCATATTCTGAATTTACAAACACATCACATAGCCTAGTAGAAGAGCAACGGAAATATATTATTTCGGTTTTCATTTGCAAAAAAAAATATGAAAAGATATGAAAACGAGTGGTTCTATATAAACATCTCACAAGCCGCCTATTTATCTTATCTCTTCATCACCTTGTGAAATATGTATTAATTATGGTGCAATGGACCACTTCTCACAATGACTGGCGTTTCCCCTTAGTGAATAACCGGATTATCTTTAGCGTTTTAAGAAAATCTCTGTATGATTGTTTGGCTCGACTGCCAGAATAAGTTAACATTTTTGCGAAAGTGCACAGTCGATTGACGAATTCGTAAAGATGGGAAAATACAGCTATTTAGTTGGCCAGCTGTAGCTACGGAAACTGTAGCCCTGTATCACACTGGTTATCAACAGATTGATCTTGGATACGAATCCTGGGACGGGCAAGAATTTGACTGATGCCTCTGTTTCACCTAATTGTAAATATACTGTATTTGGTGTTGGGACCCCCAATTATGTAATTGGTGTTGGGGGTCCCAGCCATGCACTTGGTGTCGAAGTTTCAGCTATGCTCTTGGTATTGTTCTCCTTTTATCCACATATTTACTTGAATACACGCTTTTCATTAGTGTACTGTCATCCATTATAAAGTAAAGGTTAAATGTTAAACTGCCATTGATTGTGTATGTGAAACATCTGACTTCGTAACGCGTGTGTGGCAGTAGTGTCAATCGATAGCCTAACCCATGTGTCACTGACACCCAACTCGCCAAGGTTTACCCAAGGTTTAGCACTCGCCATTACCACCCTGTGTGTAGCTGTCGGTTACACACAGGTAGGTGGGTGGCATTACCACCCACCGTGTTGCGCCACGCACGACCACTGTACACCTGTTCTATCAGCATGCACCTACCACCTAGAGTACCCCAACGTGTTACTCGCATGTTAACCATGTGCTGTCACAGCTTGAGTTGTTGCACCTTCTACCCCCTGTGTCAACTTTTGTTACTGGCATGTCACAACGTATGGTCATTGCTTGAGTTGTCTACAGTTGCCACCCTTTGTTTGATTGTTATTCGCATGTTATAACGTGCAGAAATTGCTGGAGTATTTCATCAGAGTATCTACAGTTCAACGTTGTATGTATGCAAGGTGTGAGTGATCGGCCGGTCTTTAAAGTGAGTACAAATATTTCTCTTGTTCTTATAGTGTTTCCTTGTGTTGCTCTACAGCCATCTGTGTAACACTGTATCCGTCACTACCTTGTGTTACACACACGAAAAACACATTAAGTATTTGTTATACTTTTATGTATTTAAATTGTACGGTGTTATTATTATCAATTCATTTTATAGTGATTTCTGTGTGTATGTGACACCTTGCATCTTACCCATTCCAGAGACCAGTGGAAGAGTAAGCCATTGAGGTGTAAGCCATTGAGTGGCTTACACTACGTATTACACTACGAGTGGCTTACACTTACGCATCACCCCGACACCATTAAGTGTCGGGGTGATACATGTATATCATTATATTGTTACTCATTGATTATTGTGTTGTGTTATATCACAGTCTGTCACCTAGTTGTGCTTGCAGGGGTTGTGCTCTGGTTCTTTGGTCCCGCCTCTCAAGTTCAAGTATGTTTATTGAGACAAGAGAAAAATACATCTGAAAGGGATAGAGTAGCTTAGGCTATTTCTACCCATCCCCTCCCCCTTCCACCTCTCAACTGTCAATCAACTGATTGTCTGATTCTGTTCTGTGTTGACAACTGAATGGATAGCGCTCGGAATTCGCAGTCCTGAGGTTCCGGGTTCGATCCCCGGTGGAGGCGGAAACAAATGGGCAGAGTTTCTTTCACCATAATGCCCCTGTTCACCTAGCAGTAAATAGGTACCTGGGAGTTAGACAGCTGCTACAGACTGCTTCCTGGATATGTGTAACAAAAAGAATCCCTGCTCGAGGACCGGGCCGCGGGGACGCTAAGCCCCGAAAACATCTCAAGATAACCTCAAGAATTATGTAACAATATAACTTTTTATTTAAAGTTAATAAAGAACAAATGCTAATCAGAGATTTTATAGATAACAGCAGTGACTAAATCTTGCTGGGAGAGAGAGAGAGATCCGTTAACCTCAAGGCAGTTATCAGCTAAATTGATCAAGTGGATAATTGTGACTAATATAGTAAATTACAGCAAAAAAAATTAACTAGATTTCAGACATTTGTTTTTATTTCAAGTTTCAATATCTGAAATTCTCATAAGTGTGGTCTCACCTGGAATTATCTTGGTATTTAGTACCTGTGTTCTCTAAGACAATCCACACACGTATGCCTGCACAATAATGCAATTGAATTCATATACGCGACTTGCTTAATGCGAATGCTAATTATCAAACTGACACCGCAGATACAACCCCGCTCCTGTGCTAGGTAAGTCCACTACGGACTCACCATAGCCCGTGCTACTTTGGAACTTTTGGTTCTAAGTATCTGAATCTAAAACAACAACAACAACCAAACTGATCTGAGTGAAGAAGCCTGCAAGGTTTGTATAAAGGTCACCTCTAGCCTCAGGCAAGGTTAATCGGTCCGTAACCCAGTCAGTTAATGACCATACACACTCTCTAACCTGACTCGTCATGTCTGTCTCTCTCTCTCTCTCTCTCTCTCTCTCTCTCTCTCTCTCTCTCTCTCTCTCTGCAATAAATTGATTTTTTCAATATGCATTACCAATTACATAAATTATTATTAAATACATTACCATTAAACGCCTTGCCATCAGCGTTGAAAATCGTAAAAAAATACAGCAATAAAACATCTCACCTGTAGGAAATGTAGATGTTTATCTCTCAGAATGTTTGGTAATATGTTTACTGTTTGTGATGTGTGTATATCTATTAACACGATGTACTGAACGGGGTGTGAGAATAGCTTGAGCTACCTCATCCCTTTGTGTGTATTTTACCTCAATAAACTATATTTCAATTTCAATCTCACCTGTCAAGGTCAAGAGCAATGCACTTTATGGCAAGAAGTGGCAATGTTTCCGGCTGAGGCGAGACTCGCCGCTCCGCCGGCAACCATTGCTGCCTCAGACTCCGTCGGGGGCGGTCGATCTTTTGCTCCCTCCAAGGTATGGATCTGTCTTTTGGGCCCCCCCTTTTTTCCAAGCTGTGTACGTATCTTGTGGCACGAAGTGGAAGCAATATTTCCTAGTGTTTGTGTGCAATCTTGGCAGTGTTGTTGTTTGTTCCGCGTGTTTACTGGATGATGAAACTTGGTAAATAATGTCAAGATCAGGTCGTATAGGTGCGAAAAAGGTTAGAGCGGGCTTATAGAAAATGGATGTCATCTGTATTCAAGGGGAAACTTAAGTGTGTGTGTGTGAAATGTTTCTACGCTAACTTCAGTTTTTCGTAACGACCGCTATACCACAAGTGCGATTAAGCCGGTGAGATGTCAAAGGTAATCCCTGAGGATATTTTCAGATGTACTTTATAAAGTGTTGCAGTGTTTTGGTATTTACGTCTTCTGCAGGTAAGATATATCATGTATTTGTTACCCAATGGGTGAAAAAGGACCATTAGGGGGCTTTTTTGATATCTCCCAATTTGAACAAGACCATTTCAAATAAGTGATCTTGTTTGATATCTACCAATTTGTTCTGTAAAAAAATTATTTGTCTTGGTGAAATCTTGCTTAAAACGTTAAAGGGTAGATCGCCATATTATCCGCAATTCTCTAATTTGAGGATAAACGTTCAGAAGGTTCTTTAGGAATGGGATGAAAAGCAGTTATATTTTTTTTTTTTACTCAGCGATCTGATGACCAAACCACACGTCAGAAAGTAAAAAAAAAAAGACGACTTTTCGGTCCATCCTGGACCATTATCAAGTCCTGTAACAGAAGAGAGGAAGGTGTATAAGCAAATATATATAAAGTATCTCGACGATTTATTTTTATGCTAAAGTATTGTAGTTATTATTGATATGCTACGAACTTTTTTTGTGTGTTGATAATCTGAGGAGCGAGATTATTAGATATGTATAGATCAGTCAAATTAATTTATCGTGAAGGGGGTAATTTATTATATTCAGTAAACCATTGACTTGTGTATAAAATAGCTAGTTTTGGATATACAGTATATAAAACTAGCCTCTTCGTAGTTTGAGGCTTGTGTATCTTAGAGGTACACGTAATGATAAAATGATCGCTATGCATAGTGTAATTACCTAAGTGTAGTTACAGGATGAGAGCTACGCCCGTGGTGTCCCGTCTTCCCAGCACTCTGTCATATAAAGCTTTGAAACTACTGACGGTCTTGGCCTCTACTACCTTCTCAATGTCAATTAATAGTCAAGAGTGTAGAGCTATGTTGTCTAGTTTGCTTCTGGCAATGTGTTGGTATTAATCAGCAAATTATACTTTAATATTTCCATGTGTTGGGGTTAAGATTGTTGTACGAACTGGACCCATTTACATTAACGTCATTGGATCCAATATGCGTGTTTAGCATTAACATCAGCCAGGAGCGAATGGATGATAATGAGATCGGGGGTAAGTGTTAGGTGTGGGTTTTGTAATGTGAAGGACATAGGATGTGCAGTAGTGCATTGAAAGATAATACTGTTTTAGGCTGTGGATATTCGTTTTGCATATCTGGCCGCCGGCGTTGACTTGTGTACATGTCTGTACGATGAATGCACAAGTCTCGGTAGTGTAGTTGGGGTTCGTCCTCGTCTCACAATCGGAAATTCAAGATTCGAATCACGGGCTGGACAGAAATAAGCCCGTCCTTCAAACAAAGACCCAGAGTACATTCCATGCACCCGCCAAACCCCCTGTTTATGAATGAAAAACGGTTTACTCGCGACTCACAACTGTTGACGTCCGAACACTTCCGGAACAAATGCTTCGCTGGCGACTTTTGTTCAAACTACAACCCTGTAAATGTTTTACCCACGTACTTGAAATATAATCGCGAACAGAACCTTAACACCTAACCTAACCAATGCTTAAATATGCACAATATGCTAATAAATAATAATATGAATTTATATTTTAGAAAAGTTCTGTTTTGAATAAACCTTACCGTTGCACATAGGTTTTCGGGGTAAAAATGTGAGTCTATTAATGTTCCAGATTAACACCTCTAACTGTTTATTAACGTTGTTATCCTTTTAAAGGACCTGGTTGTATTGAGAGCCGTGGCTTAAATACATAGGTAAACCCAGTATGTACGTAGGCAATACTGCCTGCATGCCGTATTCAGAATGCCTATATGCCGTAGGCATGTAGGCATTCTGAATTTGTAGGAATTTTGAATATTTAAGTAACTTATATTGTGACTCAAGTAAGGGTATTGGGTAAACTGGGGTTAAACACTCACTAATGGTTAAGGGTGTCGAATGTCGACCAAAAAATTAAAGTTATACTGGCGAAGCAGAAAGGCTGGAGCGAAATTATAGCTGGGTATTTCTCCATTTTTAACAATGCATCGCTCATAACAATATATGGAGTCAACAATATGACGCCCGTGGCACTTTGCGGCATCTTGGTTCCACAAGTATTTTGTTTTTTGTTGTCGTGTCTATTTCGTCTGGCCTTTATTGCATGTGAACATTCACTATTGTAGTGAGGTGATAACTGCTGCCGCCAGCTGCAGCTAGTTTATTGTGCACCTCGCACACGTTCTGTCAACGGTTACGCTAAAGGATTACGTAAGGCACAATAGGCTTTAGACCATAGTGGGTGTCCAGCCACTATGCTCCTTCAGTGGGGGAATTTAGCTCATGTGCAGCTATTCTTCTTTTGACGCCAAGACGAGCATATTACACAGAAGGCTGGTTCAGGAGGCTTCCCGTACCTCTACGGGAAGTGAGATTAGTGAGAGGACGCCTTGCTTACTATGAAAAGGGGTTCCCCGTTAACGATTAGTGTCCAATTTTGTGTTACGGTGTACTTACGGAACTATATAGTGTTACGAACTATATAGTGCTCAGCTTCCAACAAGACAAAATATTGGTATTGTATTATCTTCAAGCTTAGCAGCAACATGAAACCTTTTAATAACATGAAAATTAATACCTTGGATGGAAAGGGGGGGAGGGGCTCGTGGACAAACCTATCATATTCATCTCATATATTGCCAGTTTCTGCTACGAATAAGTTTGAGAGTATGTCCAGCAATATTAATATATTATGTTAGCGCCTCGTACGGCTGAGCATTGATATCTCAGCTTGTCCTTGAAGTACAAAATGCAGATTTGTCTTGTGACTCACCGTGAGGCAAGCACAGTCCTCCTTGTCTGTGACGGCTCATGTTGACACTTAAGAGTGGTGTAACACCCTGGCTCCGTCTCTCTGTTTAATTTGCTCCCAACGTGTTTCATTCATTAGTAGGACGAGGCTATTGCACTTAACGTTATTTGTGTTTTTGTTGTTCATCGCTGTCACTGCAAGCGGCAGTGTCCAAAATTACTGGCCAGTGTGCTGCCTCCACGCCACATAGCAATACTGACTGCCACCCGCCTGGGAGCGTCCTCGGTAACTGCCTCTGTTGACAGTTTACACAATCCTAATTTTGGTTTTAGTTTTGCACTTGTTTACTTATCTAACAGTGACTACGAGGCATTGAATGTCTAACTCCTTCTACCAGCCATAGAGAAAAGCTTTGAAGGGTTACTAAGATTTTTTTCAGTGGCTGATATCTTAGTTTATAAATTGTTGTAAGTTAACTAGTCTTGGTTTTTTTGTTATTTAAGTAACATCAAGCTTGATGCATAATAATAATAATATCGAATACATATAGGTTCTGGGAAGGTGTACGTCACTGCATTGGTTCAGCTGGAAAAGTTCTGTTATAAAGCGTAGAGTATTCTGTTAGTAATTTTCAATGGGGTGGCCGTAGGAAACTATCTGAGGCAGTGAAAATTTTCCGCTGCTCAGTCCTGGCTCACTAGTAAGAAAATAGAAGCATAGAAAGCTTATACTATAAAGATCAACAACGCCAGCAGTGTGGTCTTGTATATATATATATATATATATATATATATATATATATATATATATATATATATATATATATATATATATATATATATATATATATATATATATATATATATATATATATATATATATATATATATATATATATATATATATATATATATATATATATATATAAAACATTTGCGTTTTAAATATCTGAAGTGAAAGGTTTTATTTCTAACAAAGTGCCGGTGATAGGTCATTCAATAACCTTCTGTGGTTGAGTGCTCAATAACTCATGACACTGTGCTGGTAGCATTGTAAATATATGGCCACATCTGTGGTAGAAAATACACTAAAACAAAAAAATCATATTAAAATCATCCCTTTTAAAAACCTGGAAACTGCATAGAACTATATAGGGCTCAACTTCTTAAGATACAATTGTACCATGCTTGTTTCTGAGCCAAGAAAACGTATAGATATAACAAAATTATAAATGACGGTAACAGAGTTATATAAACTACATCTCTTATTGATCTGTACGAGTTGGGTAGAAATAGGGGGGGGGGGTAGAAATAGCCTAAGCTACTCTATCCCTTTCAGATGTATTTTTCTTGTCTCAATAAACATACTTGAACTTGAACTGTACGAGTTACCTGATGAGTTACCAAAGCCTATGCTCTCAAAGGAGCTTATTATACACTTAAATTTGTCTATAAACAGCCTAAGGACAATAATGCATCAGGAACCTCAACTCTGCATAAATCTGAGCCGAATGTAAATTTCATCATTACTTATACTATGCAAGACGAGCCATATGTTATCATCAAACATCATCAGGCTTCTAGATATTACAATGCTCTGCTATAAATATCTCTGGGAGTTTGTACTTCCTGCTGATGCAGAGTTGTCTCAATGTATACTCTCAGCCTAACTATTCTCACAGGACTAGATCACTGTTTAATTGAATGTGAAAAAATTAGAGTTTAGTAACAACTCTTTATTACAAATGGTAAAGAAATACCAACATATTTCTTACAAAGTTACATATTAACCAACATCTTTGTCGCGTATTTCAAGTCTTTTTCTAAACCCTCCTACAGGATGCGTGCGGGGTTTGGTGTGAGGCATAAGGGGCCAGATTCACTAAGCAGTTACGCAAGTACTTACGAACGTGTACATCTTTCCTGAATCTTTGACGGCTTTGGTTATATTTATTAAACAGTTTACAAGCATAAAAACGTCCCAATCAACTGTTGTTATTGTTATAAACAGCCTCCTGGTGCTTCGGAGCTCATTAACTGTTTAATAATTGTAAACAAAGCCGCCAAAGATTGAGAAAAAGATGTACACGTTCGTAAGTACTTGCGTAACTGCTTCGTGAATCTGGCCCAAGGGCTGTAAAACTCTGGAGAATTAAGGCCACTGCAATTGCTTAATGACCAACCAGCAAGTATACTTTATCCCTGAACATACAGTACTATAGGACCAAAATAATTTTAATTTATATACACCGAGAAGTGTGTGTGTGTGTATATAAACCCTGACGGGGTGCGGGGTACAGGATAGACAAATACAAATGAAGATACATTGGCTTTTGTACAAATTTTGGCGTGTTCATAGAATGCATTCATAGTAGTACAGTCAATAGCTACAATATAATTAATAAGTTAGATAAATTCTCGCAAGAATACTTATTATATATATTGCATAGCATAATATGTATATAATATATATATATATATATATATATATATATATATATATATATATATATATATATATATATATATATATATATATATATATATATATATAATATACACACAACGTTTCGGGCAATTTGTTTAGAATGGAGAACATAGGAGTTCAGTTCCTGAACAAATTATGTGACTAATCTTTCCGCCACCGCCCACAGGATGGGTATGATTGGAGTCCATAATAAACCAAATTAAACAAACGGTGCTCCGGCATTCCATGAATTCGACGGCATTTACACGAATAGGGACTAAAATGACCCATTATCAATTAAGTTAAGAGTTCTCTACCACAGCTCGCTGTTTACAGGCTAGGAGCTCTTCTTGCCACAGCTCTCTGTTTACAAGCTAGGAGCTCTTCTTGCCACAGCTCTCTGTTTACAGGCTAGGAGCTCTTCTTGCCACAGCTCTCTGTTTACAAGCTAGGAGCTCTTCTTGCCACAGCTCGCTGTTTACAGGCTAGGAGTACAGCTCTCTGTTTACAAGCTAAGAGCTCTTCTTGCCACAGCTCTCTGTTTACAGGCAAAAAGCTTTCCCTGCCACACCTCACGTACAGAGTAAGAGGTAGCACAGCTAATTTTACAGCCAAACCATATTTTGTCGAATAGATCGACTTAACATTGTTTTGATAGGGTATTGTAATTAAAAACCACTTCTAAAATAAGATATTATTGTTTTAGGCTTAGTAAATAACGCCAATGTAATCTAAAATCAATCATGCTAAATTTAATCGTTCCAATTTTTTTTCGATTCCATGGAAATTCCTACATGGAATTTACATGGTCGTTTGGGCCACCCTACCATACACTAACGTTTGGGCCATCCCACCGTACAGTAACGTTTGGGCCACCCTACCATACACTAACGTTTGGACCACCCCACCGTACACTAACGTTTGGGCCACCCTACAGTAAATAATACATGACTTTACTTAATATGTAGAGCACACTTTGGGCTCCACGCGTGAAAATATATATGCCTTTGAACCCCCCTTTGAAAGCATTTGCCGCGTAGATAACCTGCCCCACTGACAGTTATATCCTCAAGGATCCCAGTGAAGGATCTGTGCACCACCTTGGTGGCGCCTATCCTCTCAAGACAGTAGGACCAGACAGTTCACGCTCCCAGTGTTCCAATAAGTTACGTTGTCATCCACTGGTATATTGTTGAAGTGGAAGACATATGGAAGGGTAGTGGTTGTGAGCGCTGTGTTATGAATATGAAGCCATCTTTGGAGACAAAGGGGTCGTGAGGGTTGTCTTACGCAAGGGCCTGACATTGAAAGTCATGACTTGTCAGTTATGATTGTTAGGTTTTCTTATTAATGATTGTGTTTTATCATCGTTACTAGCGGCGGTGGTGATTATGTTTACATATTGTTATACTGCAGTGCAAGCTTATCAACGTGTCCTCTCGAATAATACATGGTTTTTTTTTGACGTCAAAATCCCCCAACGGGCGGAATATGTTGTACTATAAATCATAGCGGTTCACAGGCATTCACGTTTTCTATTTGTGGTTTCGCTCGGTTAGGTTAGGTTCGGGTGTTGGTGCAGACCGTCCTCTTAATATACCGTCGCATTTTGACGTATACTCAACCTCAGACCAAAACTTGTACTAGCAAAATGGTAGCGGCTGGCGAAATTTACATACTGTCCCGTTTTCTGTTTTGGGTCCTCTGTTAAGGTTAGGATAAGGGCACCTTAGTACGACAGTTTCTTGGCATTGGGAAATTTGAGGAGGACGGGCTGGTTTAATACACCATTTCCTGTCCGTTGTGGCAACTCGAGATGACGGGCTGGATTATCGTGCAATGGTGTGATATCTTTCGTGTTATGTGTCGTGATATCTTTCGTTTTAACAAGCATAGTTACAATAGAGAAGTGTTTTAGAGTCGAGCCGTTTTTTTTTAGAAACCGCGGACATTAACTCAGGCCACAGGCTCACAAAACAATCTAGCTCACCACTGTACCCTTTACACTGTAGTGTAGTAAGTAGGGTGGCTACCTGGTATAGAAAACGAACCTTTCCCAGTTTCGGCATCATTCAGAGGGAAATACTCTGACGCCATTTCTTAGTACGGCCAGTGTGGCAATCATATCTCTCCTGTGTGTGTACAGAGCGACTCCTGTCTTGGTGTCACCCCAGACAGACCCCCTCACCTTACTCAAGCAACCTTCCCTTCTGATAGCACGTCGCATTTTGACGTATATCATGCCGTGAGTGTTTTCATATCAACTGATAAGTGTTTTTTTTTATAGTTTATTGTATTGAATATTATTAACCTATTTAAACTGTATAACCATTTACAAAAATACCGAACGTTAAGCATAAAGTATAAAAACTGATGTACACAAAAAAATGGCTCGCGAAATTGACGTAATGTCCCGTTTTCTGTGCATTAGGTTGGGGCATGTTGACCAGACCACACTAGAAGTTGAAGGGACGACGACGTTTCGGACACAATCGACTTGAGAATGGTCCAGGACGGACCGAAACGTCGTCGTCCCTTCAACTTCTAGTGTGTGGTCTGGTCAACATACTTCAGCCACGTTATTGTGACTCATCGCCTGCATTAGGTTGGGGCACTTAAGTATAACTGTATAACAGTTTAGTGGCGTTAAGGAGCGCTCGGGCGGACAGGCTGCTTATATATGTATACACACATTATAGTAAAAGCAAGGGGAACTATCAGGGGAAAGCGCCAAGCCATGACGACTATATTAGCACTGGGAAGGGGGTCAGGATAAGGATTTGGGATGGGACGGGGGAAGAAGGAATGGTGCCCAACCACTTGGATGGTCGAGGATTGAACGCCGACCTGCATGACGCGAGACCGTACTCCCTCTACCGTCCAGCCCAAGTGGTTGGGCAAGAGTAAGCTCGTTCATGCACACACGCACGTGCGCAGGTACACACGCACGCAAGCACATATCCCGGTAGTACAATCGTGTTCTTTTTCGACGGACAGTCGAGAATTTCAGGTTCGAATCCCAGGGCAGGACAGAAATGATTGGGCACATTTCCTTTCACCTAATGCCTCTATTCACCTATTCAGCACGTAGATACTGCAGGAGTTAGTCAGCTTGTTGTATGGTAGCATCCTGGGCGGGGTCAGCAATTCCACCAGGGGAGGGGGGTGGACCTCGATATAAGCCTAACGTGTATGAATACACTCTGGCTTCCTGTCCCCCAGTTCTCCTACAAATATCTAGATGGGATGAGAGACTGAGCCGCGAAGACATTGATCCTCGGAACCACCTCAAGGTAACTTGAGGTGATTCCGATAGTTAGGTAAGGGAGCGAGAGGTGGTTAATCTCACTTGACGTAAATGCTGATAGGTACAGCCTGTCTTGTCGAACGTTCTCAGCGTCACTAGACTGATGGACTAAATTGCCCGAACCTAACCTAGCCGAGGACTTAGAAATAGAAAACGGGACATCGCATCAATTGAGCCAGTCACTGTGATATTTAGTACATCGGGTTTTTGGCCTCGGGGGGGATTTATACGTCAAAATATGATGTACTATTCGAGGAGACAGATCGGATAGATAGGCAGCAGGATCATATGTAACCCGCCAACTGAACCCTGTAAGAGTATAATAATAATTAATCATTCGTTGTGTGAAGGGGACAGGAAGCCACAGTGTATTCATACACGTTAGGCTTTTATCGACATTCCCCCCCCCCCCCGTTCCCCCAAGGTGGAATTCAAATCAAATCAAATCAAATCAAATGTTTATTTGGGTAAAGTACATACATACAAGGGGTGATACAGATTTTGATAAATTTATAGATGGAGCTAGTACATACAATGCCTAAAGCCACTATTTCGCAAAGCGTTTCGGGAAGAATTACTAACCCCGCCCAGGATGCAATTTCACAACAAGCTGACTAATTCCTGAGCACCTACTTACTACCATCAGGTGAACAGTACATTAGGTGAAAGGAAATGTGCCCAATCATTTCTGCCCCGCCCGAGATTCGAACCCGGAAATTATGTATTGCGCGTCGAGAACGCACGCATAATCTACTACCGGGACTCTTGGTGACACTGATACATAGAAAGCTCTCAGATATCTGGGAAACTGCGAACGTGATGTTAATATTCAAGCGCAATGACTTTACACATTGATATTACTAACATGAAACGCTGCGCGTACTAGTGGCTTTACAAGATTGTAAATACTATGCTATGTATTCTCTCTAACCCAATGTACCTTCTTGTATATAAATAAATAAATAAATAAATGTACTGGAACAAATAAAATGGTGATCTGGAGAAGACACACTTCATAGTTGAGATGCAGCCCGTGTATAGAGGGAGGTGAGGCATGCCTGATGAGCCTAACACAGTTATGTGAGTCACCAGATGAGGCTGGAGAGAGAAGTTTGGTTTGATTGAATCATCTTAATCTGTCTAAAATATATATATTTTTGAGATATATACAAGAGTTGTTACATTCTTGTACAGCCACTACTAGTACGCTTAGCGTTTCGGGCAGGTCCCTGGAATACGACCCCCACGATGAATCGTTCATTTTGACTCTTCCATGTAATAGGCTGTTAAGACACAATTGGGAAGCAGAGATAATATCTAGCCTAGGATGAAGAGCAACTAACAGACACGAGACAGAATTATAGTGAGAGGAAATATCAGGATGGAGGGAAGAGGTAAGCTGGGATTCCACAGAGCTCGGTGTTTCTACCTCTAAATTTAAAATTTTGCCCTGATGGGCGAGTTTATTGGTCAACGTCACTCATCCTGTGAGTGGACACACCGCCATAGCAGCATGTACAATACCCACCAATAGGACGAAAACCCGCTGGGTTGTTCATCCTGTCATTTGTTGGGTGCCTGACAGCTGAGTGGACAGCGCTTCGGATTCGTAGTCCGGAACCACTGAGGTTCCGGGTTCGATCCCCGGTGGAGGCGGAGAAAAATGGGCAAAAAGTTTCTTTCACCTTGATGCCACTGTTACCTAGCAGTAAATAGGTACCTGGGAGTTAAGACAACTGCTACGGGCTGTTTCCTCGGGGTGTGTAACAAAAAGGGCGCCTGGTTGAGGACCGGGCCGCGAGGACGCTAAGCCCCGAAATCATCTCAAGATAACCTATACCCAGTCACAGCTGGGACTTGCTTAAGTGTCTCAAGTGAACACCTTATCAAATAAGATTACGTTACTTACGTTACGTTACGAACTTACGTTATCTTCCGGGCGCAAAATGGGGGAATCTTTTAAGAACTGTATCTATATCTGACAAATGATAATTTACAATTGTGCATGATAATTTACAGTTGTGCATGATCATTTACGGGTGTGCATGATCGTTTGCAGTTATGCATGTTCATTTACAGTGGTGTATGACCATTTACAGTGGTGCATGACCATTTACAGTTGTGCATAATCGTTTGCAGTTATGCATGATAATTAAAAATTGTGCATGATCAGTTGCAGTTGTGCATGATCATTTAATTAATAAATTATTGTGTCGGGGACAGGAAGCCTGAGTATATTCAAACATGTTAGGCTTATATCGAGGTACCCCCCCCCCCAACAACCAGGGACGTATTACTGACCCCGCCCAGGATGCATATTCACAACAAGCTGACCAACTCATGAGTACCTACTTACTGCTAGGTGAATAGCGGCATTAGGTGACAGGAAATGCAGCCCGTCCTCTAAACAAAGACAAAAAGTGATTCCATCCACCCGCCAAACCCCCTGTTTATGAATGAAAAACGGTTTACACACGACTCTCAACTGATTACGTTCGAACGCTTCCGGAACAAGTGCTTCACTGATGAATTTTGTTCGGACCACAACGCTGTAAATGGTTCATCCACGTACTACAAATACAAATAATCGCCAACAGAACCTAAACACCTAACGTAACCTATGTCTATATATGCTAATATATTATAATATTAATATATACTTGAGAAAATTCCCGTTTTGAATGTAAAAATTTATGAATTCGTCTGTGGGGGTCGACCGCTGGATGTAATGGACTTGAGTCGAGGACGGGTTGGACTGGATTACCAGAACCCTCCAGGACCAGAATCATTTACAGTTGTGCATAATCATTTACAGTCATGCACACTCATTTACAGGTGTTCACAGATATTTACAGTGTTTCATGATAATTTACAGTTGTCCACATTCATTTACATTGATTTAGTCAATTTGTTGTGATCGATGGATTAACTGTTCTCCATCTAAATGGAATTGATTTATTCTGATAGGTGTTTATTTGCAATGTTCAATTAGGACAATAAACTGGTGTATTGGGGCTTGTACTGTTAGACTTTTTACACAGGTTAATTAGTTGGGAAGTGCATCTGATTTATTATTGTATTGCAGTTTTGAATCAGTGTTTCTGCATTATTTAAGGTTATGCAAAACAACTCTAAAATGATGTACTATAAATCAAATTGAAAAATTTACAGTGGTGCATTATTGTTGCAGTGTGTGTGGTGGCTTTGCCAGGCTGGCTTCTGCAGTGCTGCCCATCCCCTGGAGAGTAGAGCCTACCTCTCAACTACATCATGCCTGTCACCATTAACAAGGGCCTTCTTCCACTCAAGATCCACTATTTCCTGAAATATGGAGGTAGGAACATTTTAACATCAGTACGCATCAGAGGGAGAACATTCCTAGATGACAGAGTCAGAGTGCATGGGGGGATTTTGTGAAAATCCTGTTCTGGATCTCAGGAAATCTTTGTGTGCTCAGTAGAACTTCAGGTTGCAATCCTTTTACCTTGTCGTGGTCTAGTCTCTAGAGTGCATACGAGGGAACACCCAGCACATAGGTTCGAACCCTCATCACAGCTCCTACAGATTTTCTCACTGATGCAGTCACGTTGGTGTGATTACTCTCATTATTATTATTATTATTTTTATTATTATTATAGTATTATACAATTATTTATTATTATTATTATTTAGATTATTATTACTAGATGGTGCCAGTTATCTACAGAAATGATACCGTCTTGCATGATGGTGCTATTTATATGTAATCCCTGAAACTTAACAGCATGAAATCACCACTTAATTAACTGAAATTTCCCACTTCCTCCAATAAATGGGTATGGAAGTGTCGCTAGGTGCAAATGGATATTAGGTCTTGAGCGCATGTACTCACCTAGTCACCTAGTTGCCTAGTTGTGTGCCTGCAAGAGTGTGTGTGTGTGTGGATATTTAAGGGTGTAGGAGAATATGTTTATGGGTGTGATCACCTAAGAGTGCCTTCCAATATGATTACAATGCAATTACATTGGTATGCACATACTAAGTGTGAATACCAATGTGCACATACTGCGTGTGCATACCAATGTGCACATACTGCGTGTGCATACCAATGTGCACATACTGCGTGTGCATACCAATGTGCACATACTGCGCGTGCATACCAATGTGCACAAACTGCGTGTGCATGTCAATGTGCACATACTGCATGTGCATACCAATGTGCACCTACTAAGTGTGCATACCAATGTGCACCTACTAAGTGTGCATACCAATGTGCACCTACTAAGTGTGCATATCAATGTGCACCTACTAAGTGTGCATACCAATGTGCACATACTAATGTGCATACCATGTGCACTACTAAGTATGCATACCAATGTGCACATACTGTGTATGCATACCAATGTGCACCTACTAAGTGTGCATACCAATGTGCACATACTAAGTATGCATACCAATGTGCACATACTAAGTGTGCATACCAATGTGCACCTACTAAGTATGGATACCAATGTGCACCTACTAAGTGTGCATATCAATATGATTGCATTGTAATGCTTTTTGTGTGTTTCCTGTGAATTTTATATATATTTTGTGTCATTAGTCTAACTTTTATTTATATAATGCATATGACTTCATGTAGATGTTAGTACTGTAATATGACATGCTATATTACTTGCTCTCATTAAAAGTCTCAGAATTGTTTGTTTAATTATTATACAGTATTTTAAAGCAAAAATCACTAAATTACAGTAAACAGGCTTCTTTGACAAACACAAAGACATGTTTCATAGTTTTACAGAAAGCAATGACACTGAACATTTCCATGGATTCACTTGTACATGATAAAATAATTAACACATTCATGGAGGATATCATATTGAGACTGTATATAATTTACATATACAGTAGATATCATGTACTGTATATAATTTGATGTTTTAAGTATATGTATGCAGTATTTATGCATATTTACTGAGATGATTGCTACGGAGATCTATCACTACAGGGACCAGGATCCTTTAGTTAGATCTAAAAGGCATTTTTAGAAAAGTGTTTTTGATATTTCATCAATCTGTCCTCTACAAAGAATGTGTCTTTTTGCTTGTATGCATTACTAAGGCTAAAAATTGTTGTACTAGAAAATGGAAGCGGCTTGTGAAAGTGACGTACTGTTCCATTTTCTGTTTTGGGATACTCTGGCTTAGTCTGGTATGTGAGGAGAGGACGCTTTAAATTAACCGTTTTTTTTGACATTGTGAAACCTTGGTGGACAGGCTGATTTGTTACACTTGGAAGGAAATATTATTTTAATGTTTGATTAAACACATTGCAATATTGTTTTTAAACTTAATTATGATGTAATGGTAAATGTCTTATAACTAATAAACAAATTACAGGTAAAGGTAAAATGGTCTTAAAGGTGACTATTTAAGTTTTATATTATTTTTAGAGAATATATAAGTACTGTATAAATCAAATTATTTCTCAGCAACTATAAAAGCATTTCTTAACATTGTAATTTCTTCACAGGAATGTCGTTTTTCACATTCCTGCCAGTGGTGGCACGGCAGAAGGGCATTCCGACACTAGCTGTGGGCCTCATGTGGACGGTCACACCCCTCTCAAGCTGTGCCATCAACATAATGATGAGCACACTAGCCGATGCTTTCAAGATCCACCGTGCTCTCTTCTTGGCAGGAATGGTCACCCTCAGCACCTCCTTCCTTTCTATCTTCCTTCTTCCAGATATCTCTAGGTCATCACATACCCAGACAGAAGCAACAGTATCACTTCACTGTTTGGATAATATTACTAGACTATCTCTGTGCTCAAAAGTAAATGAAAATTATAATGCTTTTAGTTTATCAGTTTTCCAAAAATGTGCTGAAAGTAATACATCTGACAAATTGGCAAAAACAGAGGAAGATGTAATAAATTGTATGGTAAATTGTACTTACCCTCAAGATGTAACTTTGAATGAAAATCTTCTAATGCCTTCAGATTTAATTTTTAATCTTAGTGAGAAGCAATCTGTTTTCAATGTTTGTGAAAATGATACATGTGCTATTATTACTGGAGCAAATGCTTCACCATTATTGTCTCAGTTCTCCAATTTCACCTGTGGGGAGATGTATGATGCAACATGCTTGTACCACTGTGGCTCTGTTGACAGCCGAGACGAAAAAGGCATAACTCTGTCTGATGTGATCCCAACAGCAGAATTCTGGCTCATTTTCATTCTTTTGGTGTTGCTCTATGGAGGAAATGCTACAACCACCACCATGGCAGACACTGTGTGTTTCTCCCTTCTGGGTAATGCCCGCCATAAATACGGCCGTCAGCGCATGTGGGGAAGTGTGGGATGGGGATCTGTTGGTACAGTGAGCGGTGCCCTTGTGGATTACTATTCCAAAGGAAGAGCACACATCAATTACACTCCAGCTTTAATTATCTCTGGTATCTTCCTCACATTGAACTTAATAGTTTCTCTGCAGATCAAATTTTCTTTCTCTAAAAAAGATAAACTGATAGCAAGAAACGTTGGTAACCTGATTTGCACTCCCAAGATGATGATTTATATGGTATGTGAATACTTAATGTTTATATTTCATTGACTACCTTAATGTTATTTGCTTAAAAAGTTCATAATTAGTAAATATTCTTATATTGGAGTTTTGACATTGCTGTAAAAATATTTTGTGTACATTAATATAGTTTCCCATTGTTGGGGGACAGGAAGCCTGTACTGTACTGAGACTTATCATGGTCCTCATGACCATTAACTGACCTTCCCTAGAATGCAAGCCACAACTGTAGACAGTTCTGTATAAGAGCACAGTTGTCTGTGTCATCGACTGAGGCTGAAGATTCCAGGTTCGATTCCTGGGTGGGACAGATGGGGTTGCGCACGTTTCCTTTCACGTAAGGCCTCTGTTCACCTAGCAGTAAATAGGTACCCCCTGGAGTTAGGTAACAGTGAGTTGAAACCTTAGGAAGAGCATCAGTAGGGGGGGCAGTGAAACCTTGATGGTTCTGTCAACTAATGGAACTTATAAAATAAACCATAATAACCACAACCACACTACCAGTACTAGACTTAATAAGCATGGACTGTTTTACCCAACAGCCAGAGCAATTTTGTGTACTTTCTAATATTTTTGTAGAAATTAGTTTGATCATAGTAATACTAAGATATATTGACCACATGAATTTTTAATTGTGCCCTAGTTTTACCTATGTTAGGTATTACTGAGGAGTAATTGGCATAATTAGGTTAGGTCTGCTTGCCAAATTAGTTCAAATTAAAGGAAAATGCATCTTGTTCATTGATATGAGTGTCCTAGTAGTACAGCCAGTTTCATTCACGGCTCACAATTGAGAATTCCGGGTTCGAATCTCAGGCGGGACGGAAATGGTTTGGCACATTTCCTATCACTTAATTCCTTGTTCACCTAGAAGTAATCGGGTTCTTTGGAGATAGTTAGCTTGTTGTGGGGTTGCATCTTGGGCAAGGTCAGTAATTTGACTGGGGGGTGGGGGGGGGCAGGGTCCTGAATATAAGCCCTCTGGTCCTGAATATATATGCACTCTGCTGCCTAACTCCCGACACAATGAATTATTATTGTTATTATTATTATTTAATATCAATCAATCCATAAGTTAAAATTTAGTAAATTTGGTTTGTTAGCAACTCTTGGTATTAGGTGCAACATATATGTATATATTAATATATATACTGTATGTATATACAGTACTGTACATTGTATTTACACTTATACTTTATTTCTGTATTTTAACAGCTGACTGTCATAGTGGTGGGTTTGTCCATGGGAACAATGTGGACTTTCCTATTTATCATAGTGGAAGATGTAGCTCTCGCTTGGGATCCATTTTTCCCACACATGAAACTATTGCAAGGTCTTATGTTAGGAGCAGAGTGCTTCCTTGGAGAAGTTCCCTTTCTCTTCCTTTCATGTAAGAAAACTATGCTATAAATAAGTACAATATATACCTTTGCATACCATCAAATCTTGTAAAAATTATATGCTAATATGTGGCCTTTTGGAATTCTATATACAGTACATACATTTATTTTTTGGAATATTACATATGAATATACAGTACATATATAAGTATTTTTTCTGCATTTCAGCTTTGATCATAAAAAAAATGGGCAAAATCCCAACCTTTGCTTTGTCATTGACGGCATTTTCACTTCGACTTCTGCTGTACTCCTCTGTCACCAACCCGTGGTACTTCCTCCCTGTCGACCTGCTCCATGGGCTGTCATTTGGACTCTTCTATCCTAATATGATCAGTTATGCTAGCTCAGTGGCTCCAAGAGGTGCACAAGCTACAGTGCAAGGAATCATCAAGTCTATCTTTATTGGTGGTGAGTTATACAAAACCCATGCAAATTCATTTTTAGTCACTTCTTTAAAATAAAATCAGGCTGACTGTTCATGTTCCTGGTCATATGACAAATTACATTGAATCTGCTTGCCTTAAGATGCAATCAACGCTACACATACTAGTGACTGTACAAGAATGTAACAACTCTTGTATATATATTAAAAAAAAAGTATACAGTGTATGGTTTCAATAGCAGTGGGTTGTTGTTGAGTAAATCTAGTATCCCAGTTGAGCTTGATAATAGGGACTTCACTGTACAGTAGTTTCAAAGTATTGCAGTTTGTTTATATTATGCAGATCTTTATCATATGGGCTGTTCTCTAATATCACATTGGTATTTCTTTTCTTAAAAAAACAAAAAAAACAGAGTACTGTATTACCTTTTTTAATACAGTATACTGAATACAATACAATACAATACAATACAATTTTATTTAGGTAAGGTACATACATACAATAAATTTTTACAAGGATTGGTAGACTTATAGGTAGAGCTAGTACATACTTTCTTCTTTGTTCTTTGTTGAATATGTTCTTTGTTTTAAAATGTAGTGTAATTGTTGACTTCATTCAATTGAAATTTTACTAATTTCTTACAACTATAGGTATACAATACATACAGTTGTACAGTCTTTGTACATACAGTAATGTTTATATTATATTTGTAACACTAGTATTTGGGTGTGTAAGGCATGTTCAATATTCCTATATACAGTAATAAGAGACCAAAAATAGGTTACTAGCCAAGATCATTATTCTCACCGCCTTTGACATCTTTTTAAATTGCTCTCGAGCTGTGTAGTACCTCAGTAAAGTTACTGGATTTGTGTGCTTTTTATATTTTGTGTATGTAAAATATCTTCATTAAATTGTGTCATGAATATCTAATGAATGAATTAGATAGATAGGAATATGTGAAGTACAGACTATTCCACAAGTACTGTATTACTAATTCTGACTCTGCAGTTGCGGCTTTGAATATCAGTTTTTGCAATATGGTCATGCAATACTTTTGCTGAGCATAATTACAGTATAAGGAAGGCCATTCTGTTCATCGTGACTTTCATCCTCTTTCAGGAGTGTCATCTGGAGCAATGGTGGGCGGTTTGTTGGTGAAAACGGTGGGTGGATCCAGGGCTTACCTTTATATGGGACTCTTTGATGTTGCATTTACTCTCTTCTTCATCATTATCCAGTTCCTTATCTACAAAATAAGTTCAAGAAAATCTCAAGGTAAATATTAATTCGGTTTTTTGGTTGTAGTAAAAGAAAAATTCAATATTGAGAAATAGTGTATCATTGATGTAAACTGCCATTATTCTTATAAATTAATTATTCTTTTCTAGTGAATACTCAACTAAACTATATTTGTTTCTACAAAATATTCTTTAATTTACACTATTCTCTTCATATAAATGACATCCCATGATTTAGTCATTTATAGCTAATAGTCATTTAAAACTTTACTTGTTTAACATTGTTTTCAGTATTAGCAGCTACACCTCATCCAAGCTCATTCTTATTTTTTACAATTCTATCAAATTAGTGTACTTAACTTACCGTATCCACTTGAATTATTTATATTTTGCTTGTACCATGTTTACTCCACACCCTTTTCTAGCCATATACAGTATAGAGTATATAAACAGTATTAACAGAAACAATGGGTATTGAATAGAAGTGTTTGTAGAAAGCCTATTGGTCCATATTTCTTGATGCTTCTATATTGGAGCGGAGTCTTGAGGTGGGTACCCACCTCAAGACTCCGCTCCAATATAGAAGCATCAAGAAATATGGACCAATAGGCTTTCTACAAACACTTCTATTCAATACCCATTGTTTCTGTTCTGTCTTGTGTTGATACTTTTAATACCCTATTAATATCCCCTCCTGTCTTGTGTTAATGCCACATCACCCTTCCCACCTCACTCAAATGTAGATATAATATCAGAGAGACGTAAGTTCTAATCAGTTGTGTATTTGTGAAGTCTTTGAAAATGTAATAAGTTTTACGAAACGCGCCCGTGTCGCGTCAGACTAGAAATAAAAATGAATTTTGGAGAAGTGATTTTTGATTTACCTCCAACAGTGAAGCGTAATGTACGAAAGATTGAGAAAATTCGTGTTAGAATTATTAATCTTACTTTTTCGGTCTACTAAACAGTATTTATATATATATATATATATAAATAATTATATTTTTGTATAGTACAGTAATTGTTAGTTTACATTATAATCTTCATATTTAGATTTTGTCTTTTTTATAATTGTTTACTTGCCTGTAAAGTATAATTATCATAAGTCACACATCAACCCTCCGTATTGAATACCATCAAGTGTAGACCGTGAATTTAAACCTCTTATCAAATACTGTATTAATAACAATCATCACTTTAATGATCAAAACTGCAAATATTATATGTACAGCAAAACTTGCCAATAATGTATTTGCAAATCAATTTAATGTATTAGTAATACAGTTGGGTTTTTTCTCGACTCATAATCAGGAATTCAGGGTACGAATCCCGGGGTGGGGCAGAAATGATGGGGCGCATTTCCTATACACTACCTTATGCCTCTGTTCACCTAATAGTAAATAGGTACCTAGGAGTTAGTCAGCTTATTGTAGGGTTGCATCCTGGGGAGGATCAGTAGTTTGACTCAATATGGGGGAAACATCAATACTGTATAAGCCTAATATGTATAGAGTATGTACACAGGCTGCCTTTCCCTAACAAGATGAATTACAGTACAGGTATTAACATAAATATAAGGTCTTAACCAAGCACTATTGCAGGATGATGTTAGTGAATTATTGCAAGCATTGCACAACAAATTCTTTTGTTATATTAACAGAAACTTGGCTAAATGATGATTCAACACATCTGTTTAACATGCCCAATTACTCAGCTATCCACAACTGTAGACCAAACCAGAGAGGTTGTGGTACTGCAATTTACTACAATCAGGAGCTAACATGCTCAGAAATGATCCAAACTAGAGACACCTCTGGTGAATATACAGTATATTTTTCCTAGTTCAAAATAGAGTTCTGACACAAACTTAACAACTTAACACTTAGAACTGTGTAAGGAATTCATAACTCAAGAGTAATTTTAACTGTAACCTCAGAAATTTAATAACCAACAAATTAAAAAAAAAATCAACTAATACTAACATAATATTGACCTATGCCAACCTGATAATCCACTAGTTGCCAGCTTCCTCAACTGTATGAAGTCATGCATTGCATGCTAATACCCATGATCACTAGAACCACAAGAATTACTCAAATGACTAACTCCACCCTCGACCTCATTTGGACAAACATAACATTTACCTGAATTTACCTGAGGGCCACTAATGTTAGTGGCCTCGATGAGGACAAGAAGGTGTGCGAGCCAGGAGTAATTTCTCCAGTACTCGGACTGCATGCGCCTAGGGTTCCCTTCCCTAGGTGCTCCTGTAAGTACTGCCCTTGGGGGCTTGTGGTTACCTTCCACAAGTCACCTTGGGCTCTACCTCCGCTGTGTCTTTTGCTGCTCGGTGATTGACTGCCCTTGGAGTCGGCTGGGGTGATTCATGCTCCCCTGTTTGCCTCTGGGTAAGGTGTAGTTTTCGTCACTGGTTGGGGTGCCAGGTACTGTGCAGCTAGTTATCATCTCTCATAGAGGCCGGCTCTGTTCCGCTTAGGCACATTTCCTCTTGCGGGGTATTTCTTTTCATTTTGTTTTCCAGACTGGTGGGGGGAGTCTGCTTCTTAGTTTGGTCACACCCTTTGTATTTTGATTGTCCTCCGCTAGGCCCCCACGAGTGTACATGTCCCTTAGTTCAGCTTTAGCAGTTTGCTTGATAGTTTTTGGGTGCTGGTTAGCAGTACCCTGCCTGGACTTCCCTTAGTGAGATAACATGACTAAGGGTCCTGGGAAACCCCGTGGGGGTCTTTGGTCCAATGGACATGATCCCTGGGTCACGTCCTCAAACTCACTCTTGCTTCGTGCGAGTTTGAAGGTTGCTCAATGAGTTTGAGCACCTCAATGCGTGTTTGTTCGCTCCTGCCCTGACTCGGGATGTCATGTAGTGTGGTGCAGCTTCACGTGCAGGTTCCTTCCCTTTATTGAGGACTTGCACGCCTGTGGCCTGTTGGCTTCGGTCTTGCGTTTCTTTTTTACTTCTCAAGATGTCCGCGGACTGTCTTGAGGAGGACGTGGAGACACTTGGAACCGCACCTGGATCTGATACATTGGCCATGGGGGTGCGTGCGTCGTGCTCTTTTGAAGCTGTTCACGCTGATCCTAAAAGATGCAGTGTCGCTGTTTTTTTGCTTCCCGTCTCGCGTGTCAGCAGTCAGTGCTTGCTTCCTCTATGGAATCCGCTTAGGTCCTGGCTCTTAAGATTTCTTCGCCTTTTTGCCTGTTGCTGTTTGCAGAGTCTGCAGTTGTGCAGTATCTGCAGGCAGCTTCTTCTAGTTGCCATCCCATGTCATAACATGGATAACATGGATGGGATAAGTGTAGGGACAGATGTTACACATATGTCCCTACACTTATCCCTTACACTTACACATACAAATGAATCCACTAATTAATATGTAAAGTGTTTTGGAGTCATTGTGTAATTTGAAACTGCATCAATTTATCCTATGATTGAAATCTTCTCCATAATCTGATTAATTTGGTTTCACAGTATTCATGTTCTTTTTGGGTATTTGCAGATGAAGACGAGGATAGTGCCCCAGAAGAAGGTCAAGTTCTTGAAAATGGCATCCGTAAAACATTATATGAGTGTGATGCCGAGGGACAGCGGAGCATATGTGATCTTCAAACTTAGTTTCTGTATCATAAAAATAATATTTTATTTATATAGGATATTAAGGGTTTCATTACAGTTTTGACATATTAGATACTGTATTTATATTTTTTATGAAGCTACTAATTACATGTAGTATTTTGGCTGGACTTTGATGAAAGTCTCAGTACTGTATCACACAGCAAATTATAATAATTTGTTATGCAGATTATGTTTTGGATACAGTACAGTACAGGGAGTCCTTACTATACATTGCCAAAATATACAAGTTTCACATATACTGTACAACACATTATTAAATTGGGAAACATAATTCATGTAAAAAATTAATTCTGTCTGTATCCATATTTAGGGCAACTCAGGAATAATGGAATCTTTGATAAGCTGCTGGTTTCCTGTCCCCATCTAGACCATTAGAGATGGTGGGACTCGGGTAAATTGTGGTAAATATTTTGTGTAAAGTATAGGGTACTGTAATTAAAAGTGTCGTTACAGAATGAGAGCTATGCTCGTGGTGTCCCATCTTCCCTGTACTCTGTCATATAACGTTTTGGAAGTACTGATGGTTTTGGCCTCCACCAAAAGTTGTTCCAACTGTCTAACACTGTTTGCAAAAGAGAACTTTCTAATTTTGGGGGGGGACCTCTGACTCTGGCCTATGCTTATTTTACCTAGCTACTTTCATCAGAGACACATATTTTGTATTCAAATAAATATGAGAGACAGACTATAATTGACTTTAATGAAACACCAATTTCTGGGCGAGTCCCAATGGCTCCCTGACACCCTCCTTCCCCTTTTCCCAGGGAGTCAGGGGTGTTTCCATCATCTAGAACTGAGGATGGATCACCCAACAAATCTTTGGCTGCCTCCCTTCTCTCTCCAAATGAGAGGGAGGTGAGGCAAACGAGCTAGTGCTTATTTCATTGTCAATCCTTTATTTACATTGTAGGCGAGTTCTTTTTGGGCAGTTTTCAAGGCTGCAGTCTAGCTTACACCCAGCAATGGTCTGTTCTGACTTTTGGAGTGCTTCCCTGGTGGTGGCAGACATGAACATATTCATAGTAATTTTTGTCATACTGCCACCACTCCCTGCACTTCTGTGAGGGGGAAAGGGACAGATTTGGGCTCCTCAGTAGGCCTAAAAGAACTCTGCAATTGATGGCACCTTGTAGTCTGGCATACTATCAGTGATAGTAGCTTCAGAGAGCCACAGGGAGCTTTCCCCAGAAGAGAAGAGAGAGACATAACTAAGTCAGAAAAGCATAACTGTGTATGAGTGTGATTTGTAATGCATGTGTATCCACCAGTGTATTTTGTCACAGAGGTAGATTATGGATTCAGAGACAGTGAAGGAAGTGACAGATCATTAATTTATTGATAGTTTGCTGATGGGTTGGGAAAGATGAGATGACCTTGCCTCAACAAATAACAATTGTCAGCTGTGCATTATTTAGCAGATGAATAATGGATTTCTAACTTGTACTCCAGTAATATAGTTTTTGTAATTTAATTCATTTATTTTATACTGAAAAATTAACCAGAAATATTCCCAGGAACACAACTCCTATTTACAGTACAGTATAACATTGTGCCTATGAAAAAAGTGGTTTCACTGATGAATAGTTAGGTCATTTTGTATTGTATTTATCAAAATTTTGTATTTCAGTACTGTAATAAATTGGTCAACGTGAAAAATATTGAGCGTTTTGTGAGATTGCGTTCCAATGTGATCTGTCAGTACTAAGAATGTCATGATTTTCCCCCTAATGTTTTCTATTCTAAATTGCTTTAATTATATACATGTTGAATTGCATATAAAATTTTAATCAAAATTTTTGTTATTAATGAAATCAAATTTGCTCTTAACAGAACTAATGAGAATTTATACATGATTTATATTTATTATGCAATAAAATGCAGATTTCTAGAGTGGACCCTAGTTTTCCCATTAAATCCTTAACCAAATACTGTAGTATGCAGTTTGCTTTTGTGGAGAAAGCATTTCTGTATAAAACGAAGTACATTATATGGACAATTTAAGTATACTGTGGAAGTATTATTGGTGTCCAGGAAAATCATGTACTGAACCAATTCTATTTGCCTTTTAATTGTAACATTTTATCAATATTGTTTTCAAGGACATGTGTAGTCATTAGTAATACAATAAAAAGCTCTGAACATAAAGGTAACTAGAGCATTTAGCGGGTCCTCTTATATAAATAATTACAGTAGTTTTATATTAGGAAGTGACATTAATCTTTTAATACTGTTTGCATAATTCTTAGATTAATGTATTGCCATACGATGTAAATCTTTAATACTGATCAAGAAAATAGGCATTGTTTAAAATCCATTGTACTTATAAAGGAGCTTAATCTAAGAAAGAAGAAGAATGTGTGAAAAGAACGAGATTGTCCATGGTAAGCACATACAATACTGTACATGCAAATGAGAAAGAAGGGAATAAGCAGAAAAAGTCAGCAAGTAAGATGATGAGTCACAATAATGTGACTGAAGATATGATAACCAAACTACACGCAAGAAGAAGAAATGTCGACGTTCGGCTCATCCTGGATCATTATCACACATCACATGTGACTTGATAATGGTCCAGGACCGGCCAAAATGTCCGTTTGTTCATCTTCTGGTGTGTGGTTTGGTCATCAGCAAGTAAACATTTTTAAAAATTAAACATAAAAATAACATGTGGAGCATTATGCTCACCCTCATGAACAGATTATTTAACGAGATTGTAATTTGGAGCAGATCACCAACTGGTGCTGCAGTGTGAGTGTAACTTAAATTAAAGAAAGTATGAATGGGATAAAAGGTTAGCCTGAATTTACCTGAGGGCCACCATTTATTTAGTAGCCATGACAGGGACAGGAAGCTGGCAGTTTGTCAAATGTCCTCCATTTTTTCCGATACCCTTATACTTACTCCATGGTAGTGCTTTATTGCGAGACCTGGGCCAGCTAGTCTACCTCTTATAAATTATAAATGTATAATAAGTACTTTATGTACTTATACTTATATATAACAACTCTGTTGCATTTCTCCTGATATTTGTAATAACATTTTTGAACATGTTCAAAATTCAGCAGTTCATATAGTAATTAAATCACACATGATATTAAAAATACATAAACAGGGCTTCGTGTTTTCTTCTGAAATCTAGCTTTCATTGCCATTACTGAAATCTTATGTTGGGACCAATCAAAATTAAGAGTACCTTTCACAAAACTTATACATTGCACATGTATGTTAGCCATATCTTAGCGACATCATAACTGATGTTCTTATGAACCTAAATTAAATGCATACATGAAGAGATGGCAACTTCAATCATATAAGATGTTTACAATGTTACAACATTTAGGTTCTAAAATTTATTACACAGTCCAACTCTGATAAATGAAAACTCAAGGTTGTTTTCTTTCTCCATATTCATCAGGTTAAATAGATTCATTATATATTTGGAATACAATAGTGTATATAATTTTATAAACATTATGTGTTGTCTATATATAGAGTATTTATATACTGTACAGTACGTATATGTATTTTATTGAGCTTGTCCATATGGGCATTAGCTAGTTAGTTATTGTAGGAATGATATATTCAACCTGGATTAGATACGCCCCAGTGGGCACTTCGTTGTGAAAGCCGCTGACATTACATACAGTTTACTATGTAACGTCAGCCGCTTTCAACCAACTGTGCCTACAGGGTTCATGGTGTCAGTACTACTCTATAAAATTGTGTACAAAGTCTTGTATGCATTGTCATGTAATGAGTGGAAAATCTTTATTAATTATCGTGAATTTAATGTGAGTTTTGTAATTCAATGGAGTATTGAATATATGACTTTTGACATTGAACTGTGTACTGATCAGTACTCAATATGTGACATCCAGTCAAACTCAATGGGAGATTGATATAATTTCCTCTGATTTAGCTTCAGTTTTGAGGTTAAAATACTAGCCGACTAAATAAATGCTTTTAAGTATTACAATAAATGCTGACTAGAGTTTCCTATACATAATGTGATGCTGATATTGTTTGTGGCATCATGCCTAAGGCTTGTGCTGTGTGATCTGCGAGATATTATGTTGATGTTTTGTGAACCCCCCCCTAACATTGGGTATGCTGTGTTTTGTGTAGCCCCTCATAATGGGTGTGCTGTGCCTTGTGTAGCCCCTCATAATGGATGTGTTGTCTTGCATAGCCCCTCATAATGGGTGTGCTGCATCTTGTGTATCCCCTCATATGAGTGTACCTCGTCTTGTGTAGCCCCTCATAATGGGTGTCGTGTTGTGAAAGCCCTGTGATACTTTAAATCAAGGTTGATGATAAGAGATGTTTGCCCAATACTTGATACTGGTGTCAAGTCTTGATGGTGGTTCATGTGTTAAGTATGACACACTTGACACTCGACTTTAGTGCTGCATAAAGTCTGATGTTGGATGGAAATTTTGTAGATTATCTGGAGTTTGACACTTGATTATCTGGAGTATGTGTCAGATCAGTATCCATATTATCTGGTGTATGGGTCACCTGACACAAGTGTTGTGGATAACCTATAGCACCAGACACTGGTGAGACCTGACACTGATGCTGTGAATGGTGACACCTGACACTGATGCTGTGAATGGTGACACCTGACACTGATGCTGTGAATGGTGACACCTGACACTGATGCTTTGAATATTGTCACCTGACACTGATGCTGTGAATGGTGTCACCTGACACTGATGCTGTGAACACCTGACACATGCAGTGAATGACCTGTAGCAACTGACACAGTGTGAAAAGCCTGTAACAGCTGGCAGTGATTAACCCGGAGCAGCTGACATTGATACATTAGAGAGCTTGTAATACCTAGCACTAATACAGTGAAGGTCTTTTAACACCAACTGACAGTGATACAGCTAGTTTTGAATGATTACCGAGTTGCAGATTCATTTGTTGTATAAATATTTATAAATGATTATAATTATTTATCTTGCCTGGTTCAAGCCTGTATCAAACATGAAAAATTATGAAGCTTACATTTTGTACCTGGGTGATTGACAGGTATGTCATACTCCTGTCATAAATATAATGAAACTGAAACTAGGTCCTGTTTGTATATTAAAAATAAAATAATATTTAGACTTATTGGTTGATTTGTGGCCTTTTTATACCAAGTAGATACTGTATTATGATTTAAGAACAGACATAATTTTTTGTTATTTAATATACCTGGATGACTACAATTTTGAGTTTTATACATATGCACACGTAAGTGAAAGTGAGGATGGGGGGTGAATAGATTTACATGCACACTTGAAGGAAAGTGAGTGGGTGTGAACAGATACTTATGATAGATAAGATAATGTTTATTCGGGAAGATCAGAAGCTGGCCTGAACTAGGAACCTCAAAGAGACTATAAGTGTATGCTTCTAATTGTCGTCGATGGTGCTAAATGGTCTTTCGCCGGCCTGGTGCCTTTGTTTAATAATTACTTCCTGTCTTCGAAAATAGGAATTATTAGCAGAGATTACCTGAAAGCCACTATCTCTAGTGGCCTCGACGAGAACAGGAACCCAGCGGCTTGTCAAAGGTCCCTTATTGATTGTTTTTTATCAACTTTGCTGAGACATGCTGGACTATGTCAATACTTTCAGTAATGGAACAAATGACATTATTCCTGATCTGCACCGAGATTTATAATGTCGGTGTAGAGATTTACTGCACCTTCCGGTGAATGTAGTAGATTTGTAGAATGTAGACAAATGAATGTAGATTCAAATGAATGTTGATTCGGTGAATGTATTTTACCTTCAGGGTAATCCATTCACAGCATGGATTTTGCTGAAGCCTTTGATAAAGTATCACATGAAATGAAATTACAGGCCCATATGGAACAATATAATAATACAATGGATAAAACAATGGTTGAAAAAATAAAATAAAGAGTGCTAAATGGGAACTAATCTGAATGGAGAAATGTAGTAAGTTGGGTGCCACAGGGGTCCATTTTGGGGCCTATACCTTTTTTTGGCATATACATCAATGACATAAGAAAATTACAAACCACATCATTAAATTGCAGATGATACAAAGTGAGGTAAGACAAACGCTCTGCCAGACTTGTGACTTTATTGATCAAACAATTACAGTACAGTTACATCCTGCAACAAAAAACAAGCCATATAATAAACAACACACACATATAGTCCAAGCACTGTCTATTCACTATAACAAGCAAGCAGCATATGACTAAAGCTAGGGCAACATAAATTAGGGGAGCACACTTCCACGGACCTGTACACATGCACAACACAGCCTGATACTAAACCTGTCTAATACCTGTCTAATAAACGATACCTGTCTGATACTAAAGGTTAACTTGCCCGGGTATGCAATATAATGTAATTTAAATTTAAAAGTGACGTTGTCTATTTCAACCAATAACCCACATTTTAAGTGGTTTATATCTTACAGCATAATTCTTGTATTATCACATTAAATTCAACTAAATAAGTGCCAAGGTATATAATGTTACAGTAATTGAATAAGGTACAACTCTTACGTCAAAGCGAGTAGCCACATAGTTAATTAAGACATCGCTAAAGAGGCTGCCAAGGACAATGACTTGCCTTAATTATATAATGGACAATTTCTAATAGTTTTTGCGGAAACAAACTGGGTTGTGGAATTACTTGACTCGGGCCATTGTTGGTATTGTTCCTTGTCAATCTATATTGCTAGCGTATTGACATTTAAGTAATACGTCTTTCTTCCATTTAGTGGTATTTACACGAATACAGTTCATAATCAACAAACGTTACTTATATGTCATTTTTTTTTTAATTTAGGAAAATTCTCTCTTTTAATTTTTCGATGAATGGACAATTCCCGTGAAAATCATCAAAAATATCCAACATGGCATCTCCTTTCTACTAAAACAACTTTCGTCCGATTCTGATTTGGCGCAGAAAGATAAGACCCCAAAACATCGATATACTTTCCACAAGTGTTCTGAATTTTAGATAATCAAGAAAGAAATCAAGATAAAAACTCACGATGTTCTGTTCAATCAAAGCAAAATGATTATATACCGAGTTACCACTAATGAAAAAGAGATGAAACTGATGAATGAGACATGAAAACGAACACGGGGCTCGCTAGGAAACCAGTTGCTCTTTTATAAGAGAAGGAGAAGAGGAACCTCTGTTTATTCCGGAACTTGATGGACAAAGTATTACTCCTCGTTGTTGTCAGCCTTTGTTCCTGCCTGGCCGAGAGGTCATAGCAGCGTCATGCGGTGGGTGGAGAGGAAATAAGGCGAGACACCGGGAGATAATAATAACCTCTGTGATACGAAGACAAGTTTATTTACTAGTGATGGCGTTAGTGATAAGTGTGTTGTGTTGGGTCTTTTAAATAGTTCTTTTTTGTGTTAATCACGTTTGTGTGTGTGTTGTGATTTTCCCCTCAGGACGAGGAGCATATCCATCTGCTGCCATGCGCTACTCCATCGCACATTATCCTGGTTCAGTCAGTGGGTGTTAAGCAACGCAAAAGGAACATTATTCGATGGTTTAAATTAAACAAGTCTTGGACGTGCAATGTACCAATGTCAGTGATGCCAACAATGAAAGCGTGAGTTGTACAGAGGAAGTCTACAATGGCCACGTACTGCCCAGAAGACCTGGCCTCCAGGGAGCTGTCCTGTCCCATCTGCTTCGAGGATTACGATATTCATGATGATAAGAGATCACCCAAGTTGCTGCTCTGCCTCCACACCTTCTGCCTCGACTGCACCAGCAAGCTGTGGAAGAGCGATGGGTCTATAGAGTGCTCCCTGTGCAGGATGCTGCACGAGGGGGTCAGATTAGAAGACCTCTTGGACAACCACGTGATAGTTCAGCATCTCAGGTGTGTAATTCTGCCAATCTATCATCTTCTCTTGCCCAATGATGCCAATCCCCTTTAAACTTGTTTATTTCAAATATGCCATTAAATAACATTTTTGTAAATGAATTGATTTGTAATTTTCTGAGATTGTGTGTGTGTGCATATTACAATAAATTTTGATGAGATAGGCATTATCTGTGGTCAGCTTCAGATCTGCTATACTCTGAAGGGTGATATGATGCCAGATTTCCTAGGTGACTACCTGACAAAACATGGAATTTCTGCCAGATGCAGATCATTTCACACAAAATAGTTTGCCAACAGATTTTAATTTTTTTCCAACCAAACTATCCCTAACCCAACCCAGCCTAACCTAATCTAATAACATTTACACAGCTTTATCAGTTCGAGAATGAGGTCCGGTATGTGCGATTGTAGTATAATTTTACCATAATTCAGTCTATCTTTCACAGGTTCATGCATTGTTTTTCCCAAGTGATCCTTATTTTATTATATATTGAAAATAAAGATATGCATTTTATTTTTCTAGATATATCATTCAGGTAGTTTTAACATTATCACAATTAAAACATATTTGTTGATGTGTTCTTTTTTCTTTTTTAATTATTTACAACACACACAATTACCCAACCTTTAGAAAATTTTTAGAAAATATATAAAAGAACATGATTCAGTGGTTAATTCACTGTTACAGAGGATGTAAAGCCACTAAGAGCATAATTTCTCTAAGACATACTGTGATAATGATATGATTCATACCATGATATGTGTACCATATATCCAATTATGTACTTTAAAAGTATAAAAAGTTAATGTACAAACATACCAACTACACAATACTAAGGAGTTAATATTGTGCCTTGACTACCAGTGACTTCATGGTACCTCTTGTATAACATTATGAAAACAATCATTAATTTAAACTAAAGTGATGAATTATGCCTTAAGAACAGAAGTTGTACCCCAAATATATTTTGTAATTTTTGTATTTCAATTTTCCAGCCATGTGATCAAAACAGTTGAAAAGAAAGGAAAATAATGAAAATAATGAAAAAAAAACAAATTTCTTTGTGAAAAGTAATGTTAATTAAGGCTAGAATGCAACTAGCATTAAATTGCAGTGACAGCAAATACTTTCTTAATCTTTATCAGTCAAGATTTTGTAAATCTTGCCGTTTTTATTGATACAGTATATGATTATGTATATCTGACCACAGTGTATTAGGTGGTGATTACAGAATTAAAAAAAAATAATTTTCATATGAAATATAATAACCAAAACTATGTATTTGCATTGCAGTACAGTAAATGGTTTTTATTTTTTTTTATCAGAAATAAAAGTGTATTTCAAATTGAGCATTAATTAAAAATAAAGGTTCATGCCTTTGTGTCATTGCACGCATTACAATTTTTACCATACATTCATAAAATTAACAAAGTTATTTTAAAATTATAAAAAAATAGCTGATTATACAGTAATTTATAAAAAGTACTGAAGATGTTCACTTTAAAGCAACATGAACAGCTTCATGGTTTTAGCTCGGGTCTTCTGATTTTGAGTTCTTATTCTGCAGGCGAGAATGTGAGAAGCAGGACCTTGAGCTGGCAAGGAGGATTGATCAGGAACTGCGAGACTTGGACAGGTGAGTACAGCTTCCACTACGAACTGTTCTCGTGTTACAACCACATATCCCTCTACCAGCAGGTCATGCTCGGCTAAAAGTTCATGTTTCATAGAACCCACCTCTAAATATATCATTATATAATGAAAGTATTCCATATACTATACTGTCGTGAAATTTTTCAGATTGTAACTATTGTACTATATTGTTCATTTTGTAATACAGTACTGTATATTAATTATGTAATTTTTCCAAAGCAGCTTGGCACCTGCAGGAGAAAGTGATATTACTGAGATTAAGGCTATGTTTGAGAAAAAGTCCTTTGATACCCCTGACATACCTGAAGTGGTGAATATATCATCTGAACAAGAACAAGAGGAGGAGGAGGAGGATCCTGAGGACCAAGAGGAAAACAGGTGTGTAAAGTATCCAAGGGATGTATGAAATGCTTGTCCAATTGTTCTTATAACAGTTTTACAGCTTGCAGTATGAGCTCACTGATCTGATTGATCCATATCATAGTTGTATTTTTTAGAAGAATAATTTTATATTATTAATGTTCAATTAGGTGTATTTTGCAACCCTCCTTTCATTTTGATCATTAACTGACCTATAAAATATGCAGCCCATCCTCCTGTTTAGGGTGTACTTACAGTAACAATGAGGACCAGTGTACATACAGTACATTGACGTAAAAGGCAATTGGAAAGTAGAAATCGGAACTATTGAATTTGGATACTGTAAACTAGAAAAGTTTTTGTATTGATGTTGCAAAGGAAAAACCCTCGCCTTCCTAAACATAATAGATGCTGACGCCTAATCTAGTAAATATTTGTGCTATACTAGGACTAGAAATAAAGTGAAAGTTACCAAATTATACTGTCTAATTGTCCATTACATCTATGTATGATAGTTACCTTGAGGTGCTTCCGGGGCTTAGCGTCTCCGCGGCCCGGTCGTCGACCAGGCCTCCTGGTTGCTGGACTGATCAACCAGACTGTTGGACGCGGCTGCTTGCAGCCTGACGTACGAGTCACAGCCTGGTTGATCAGGTATCCTTTGGAGGTGCTTATCCAGTTCATTTAGTCCACATAGTTACAAAAAAGTACTATCTAAACAGGAGGATGGGTTGAAATATGACAATTTGAAACTTTGAGTGCTTTGTTATATTTTGTATTCTACCTGGATGGGGTTCTGGGAATTCTTCTACTTCACAAGCCTGGCCTGGGGCCAGGCTTGACCTCTGAGAGCTTGGTCCAACATGCTGTTGCTTGGAGCAGCCCGCAGACCCACATATCCACCACAGCCTGGTTGGTCTGGCACTTCCTGAAGAAAACTATCCAGTTTTCTCTTGAAGATGTCCACATTTATTTTGATTCCACCTATGAGGGATGACCCGAGAGGAGAATAGTCTGTGCTGTGACTGAATTATATCATTTAAGAACAATTTCCATTCATTCATTATCATCATTGCCCTGTTACCCACTTTCATGGTGTGTTGAGACATTAGCCCAGAGAAAAATGGTGAATACCGTAATATAGCAAAATATCGTTAAATGTAGATATTGAAAGATAGTTATAAATAATTCGGGTTATCATTTACACTATCAATATAACATTATTCATAAATAAGTACTGTACCACCTCACTCTAGTAGTCTTTCATATCGGTATCCCACTTAAAATTATTTTAAAAATAACATATTTGACTTTTATTGATCAAATTATGAAACGTATCCAGTACTATACTGTCATATTTTTATGATTTGCAGTACAGTATATGATTGAAAGAACAATGAATTAGGCTTAATGCCATGTTTATTTTTCAGGCATTATATACTGAACAACCTCCTAGAGGAGTTCATGGAAAGGTTAAATTCGCCAAGAATGCACATAAATCCAGAAAGCGAAGACAATGAAGAAGATAGTGATGACAGAGATGATGATGATGAAAACAGTGAAGAACATGAAGAAATTCAGGAAGTTGAAGCTCAGGAAGAAGAAAATGATGGTGATCCTGAGGAAGAGGAAGCTACTAACCCTTTTTATTCTCTCCATAATATTCACTCCTTGTTGGAAGAGGCTGAAGAGGACAATACTGGTGATATATATGAAGTTCAAGATATTCAGACCATCTTGAATATGACTGAAAATGAAGAAAATGATGCTGATGATGATGATGAGGAGGAGGATGAGCGATGGCACTCGGCAAGCGATGAATTAAATGCTGCTTGCTGGAATAATCACGAGAACTTGCAATTGGATGACGTTAATGAAATGGAAGATGATACTCCAGAAATATATGACTGGCACATCATTAACTCGGAAAGCCTCTTGGATGATTAAATAATTTTGTATTTAAAATAGTAAATATGAATGCAACAGAAGCAAGTTGTTAGTCATGTAGGTTAGTTAGTGTAAACAAATAACCTTGGCTCAATCCATCACATAACTTTGAGGTGTAGCTCCATTTCTGCAAATTTTTCATTAAAAAGAATGCTAAGTTTGGTTGTGTTACGTTTTCATAATCGGAAACAAGATGACCGTCTTTTGTATTTACAATTTAGCAATGGCTGTGAAATTTTAAGCTTGAATATTCTGAAAGGTTTGTAGTGGACGAAACATGAAATCCAGTGTTGGTCAGAGTTAGTATTACAATTAGTCAGTATTTTTACTTAATGATAATGTTACCTGTCAAAATATGGCAGAACCTGCTGGAACATCAAATAATTTGGATAGAATACTGTTTTATCAATTATGAATATTAGTGGTAAAAATGAAGTCCATCATAACTTTCCCAAATGGCATCTTCACGCATTTAGAAAGGGAAGGATTAAAAACTTAACTCAAACTAGAATCTTTTCAGAAAAACAGACATTACATGTACTGTAATTACCACTGTTATTACAGTACCACTGTTATGAATATAATGTGAACCTGTGATTCTTGGTCTAATAACATGAACTTGAACATTGTGTAAGTGTGTTGGTGAAAGCTTGTGGTTACAGAAATTAGACAACTTGTAATCATAAAATGAACTACAGTAGTCCTTTGTGATGATTAATGTTGAGCTTGAAGATGATGTTTACATTTCATTAAAATGAAGTGAAGTTGTCTGTTAAATTTGTGACCCTTTGGAAATTTTAAGAAAGTTATGAAAAGAAATTGCTGCCTGTATTGCACAGATTGATAAAAGTGCCTCGGTATTTGATGGCTGTGGGCTTCTTCGTGCATGAGATGGATATGTTTTTGAAGTGATATTACTGCTGCAATTGCACAAAGAAGATTTTTTTTGTGGCTTGATGAATGAATGATGGCTGGGGTGTGTACAAGTTAGTGTTGAAGTATAAATCAGCAGTCAATTTTTTTTTTTTTTTTTTAGTTGGTAACTTGAATGTTCTGTCAATGTGTCATAGTTATAGCCGGGTGGCCTAGGAACCACAGTCTGCATGAGAAATAAACATAATGTATAGTGATAAAAGTTGTATAGATAGCATTTTCTTTTATTACTGCATCAGTGAAATTTTAAGTAGTGAATGCCAGTTGTAAATCATTGTATGCATGTGTATGAAGAATGTTATTTTTCCCAGAATGGTGCCTTACGTGTAATTTGTAAATACTGAACATGTAAAAATACGGCTAGAACATATATAAATCAAGAACTCTAGGTTTAATTAATGTACAGGTAATTTGTTTTCTACCCTTCATACATTTTTGTCAATACTATTATATTGTTTTTGTTCTTCGTGTCATTAACCTAATTAGCAGTTGTTTATAAATGTATTATGTTAGGACATCTCTTGTCCTTATGGTATCCATGTTGTCAGTCTTCATTGACTAAATGCTGGATATTAAAATTTTAATTGGATGGTATTATATTAATATGTATCCTGTGAAAGCAAAGTTAACATATATATGCATTTATTGGCAGACATGAATTATGTGAACTATTGGCCAATAATCAGAATGTACCTCTTTGAAAGGAAATAATTAGATATACACCTTTATTAGGTCTGTTTTATTAGCTTTCATATTAGTTTTTGAATACAGTATGTAGAGGTGGATTAAGAACTAATGCCAATAATATACTGTATAGGCATAAACAAAATGGATCTGCCCCTAAAATGCACACTGATACAATAGTTTATCCATTAGAGAAGTAAATGGTAATGGAAATTGTGATATGCTTAGTGGATACGTTGACAGTGTGACATACTCTGATGGAAATTTGAAATGATTGACAAGACACTGTGATAGTTATCACCATTGTGACAACTATTGTGATAGTTGTGCTTTAGGTGGTGTGCACCCCATACCCATCCTGTGGCTGGTAGTGGACTTCATAACCACCCTGTGGAGGGCAGTGGACCCCATACCCATCCTGTGGCTTTTAAAGGACCCCATAACCACCCTGTAAAGGGCAATGGATCCCATACCCATCCTGTGGCTTTTTAAAGGGCCTCATAACCACCCTATGGAGGGCAATGGATCCCATACCCATCCTGTGGCTTATAAAGAACCTCATAACCACCCTGTGGAGGGCAGTGGGTCCCATACTTGCCCTTACCTTGTGATGATTTCGAGGCTTAGCATTCCTGCGGCCTAGTCCTTGACCAGGCTGCTGGGCGCGGCTGATCGCAGCCTGACCTGAATCGCAACTTTTTTGATCAGGTATCCTTTGAAGGTGTTTGTCAAGTTCTCTCTTGAACACTGACGGGATCAGCCAGTTATACCCCTTATGTGTAGTGGAAGTCCCTGTGGCTGCTAGTGGACCTCAACCATCCTGTGGAGGGCAGTGTACCCCATACTCATTCTGTGTGTGGTATAGGGAAATGTTAGACATAATGGACTCAGGAACTGAGCCTCAAAGTTCATTTGACTGATTCAAGTTAGTCTTGATTAGCTAGTTACATAGTGTGGTATATTGTGATGGAAATGTGAAGTGATTGGTAGATATGATAATGCTCGTGTGCAATGCTCCTCTTTTTAATGTTTTGTAGCTTGTCTACAGTTTTTTCATTTGACATATGAAAGGATGCCTTGTAACAGACAGGAGTAGCAATTGTGGATGTTGTTGTTTTAGATTCAGCTACTCAGAACGAAAAAAGTTCCAAGTAGCACGGCTATGGTGAGCCCGTAAGTGGAGGCTCTTTGGAGCCATTATCTGTATCAGAGATCTACAGTAATAGCAAATAACAATACAGTAAGTAACAAATGAAAAAATGAACAATATAAGATGGTGGGACAAAATAAACCATATAAAATAGTGGGATAAACAAGTGAAAAACAATAAGAAAAAAGACAAAACAGAAATATCAAATTTAAAAACCTTTTGAAAGGAAAGGCAGAGCTGTAGTACACTTTGGTTGTTATATGATACTATAATTTATATTCTGATAATTCAGCTATTATCCCAGTCATTGAGGAAAGACCCGAGGTGCGCCTCAGTGGTTATTTCATAGGTTTTCTCCAGTGTCAGTCTTCTTAGCTAGAATTTTACCATCTCTTTACAAAACAATGTTTGATTAACCCAATGGAATTTGTACAGACTTCACGCAGTTTAAAGAAGAGACTTTGTCTTGTCCTGGTCAGACATTCATTCACATAAACAGAGGTTTTACTAGAGACTGCAGCTCTGATAAGGTCTGACTTGTGGGGGCAGCTATCTAATTTCACACGAATTCTTCTGTTATTTGCCCCAGATGATTTGGTACCCACTTTATATGCTGATTTGATGTCTCTTGCTTGAATTGTACACGTCATCTTATCATGCAATTCCCGGATCACGATGGCAGTACAGTCCTTTCCATCAGCTTCTTGGGAGAAAACATGTGATGAGATAATGACAAATTCAAGGAGCTTTTGTTGGTCTGATTCGTCTTGGGTAACTGTATTGATTCTGTAGGGTGTTCAAATGATTCTCAAACTTTTGCAACATTTCTTCCTGTTTCCTAGTAGTTTCTGCTGGTTCAAATTTAGTAACTGTGTCCTTAATTAAGAGAGCTTAATTCCAGTTCAAGGAGGCCGATTCTGGTAGACAGATGCCTCTTCAACACAAGGCGAGCTAACTGCCATTGTTAAGGCGTTAAGATTCCTTGAACGAAGCACTAACGGTACAGTGATCTGCACTGATTCTAAAACAGCGCTACAAAGCCTTATTACAAATCAGACAGAAAATCTTGCGATAGTCACTGAGATCAAGAGAGCGGTGAGAGTACTAACCAATCCAGGAAGAATCATCAAATTTCTGTGGATCCCCTCCCATGTTGGAATCTGTGGAAATGAACAAGCAGATGTGCTGGCTGCTGAAGGCGCTTCAAGGCCACATGCCTGGAATCGTCTTGTTCATTCTCCATCAAAAGCACTGGATCACGATAAGGATCTTATTATGCTTTCACATCCATTATTCATTTCTTCCAACCTTTTGAAGTTTACGGGCTATTCATGCCCGTGTCACCTCCTGGTTGGCTTAATCTTAATCAATCAATCAATCTTTTGAAGTGAGAGGATTAATTCATTAGCTCCCTCGCCTCTCATTAGTCTAATCGCCGAAACTTCATTTATCTCTGAAATTCTATCCCCGATAATCTGTTAAGTTCATTCATGTCATCATTATCTCAGTAATAGTACTTTTGAGCCATGAAAATATTCTTGGGATTATTCTCATAGCTTCAGTTTGCAAATTCTCCAACTTGTTTAGGCTGTCTTTACCAAAACAAGAAATAACAGGTGAAGCATAATCAATAAATCTCACAGCATGCCGTGTGATTACCATTGGAATGTGAAATGTAAACTATGATTAATAATTGTGTACTGTATGGATTTGTGAGGCCCTTGAGGGACCTTATATACACGAGGGTAGAAATAGCCTAAGCTATTCTATCCTTTTGAGATGTACTTCCTTTTCTCAATGAGCTTACTTACACTTAATAGCTCAGTAACTAAGGACGGGAAGGCAGGATGTGGAGTCTTGATTAGTGAGTACACTGACATCGGCATCATAGATATTGTTACTGGACATCGCTTAACTGACAATATATCTTCAACGCAGGTTGAACATCAGGCTGCATTATTAGGTATACAGGAAGTATTAAAGATGACTAATTTTTTATTGATAGAGGAGCGTTAGATTCATTAAATAGCATAAAACCAGTATATCATCATATTGTGGACGAGTGTTGATGGAATATTAAGTAACTAACGAAAATGGGAATAAAGTCAGATTTATGTGGATTCCGTCACATGTAGGAATAGTGTTAAATGAGGCAGTTGATGAAATAGCGAGAGTGACCACGGAAAATAATCTTGTCGATGTTGTATGGCAAATAACGTCGAAACAAATAAAGACGAAAACAAGATGATCAAAGAAGATATAGAAAAAAGAAGTCAGGAGAACTTTAATTGTGGCCAGCAGTGACACACTATATGTAAGTTCTTAAGAACTTACGCACTAATAAGCATGCACTCGTCCTGCTCAAAGGGCAGGGTAAAATCTACATGGAAGGACTCATTGTACATTAAATTATGATTAGTGTATAAATATTACTGGTAATACGGTGCTGATGGCAGTGAAAAATATCAGAATTGTAAATTACGTAGTATGCCGCACGCTCACACTTCAGATAACTTTGTTCTTGTGTAAAGTGCTTGAGATTTATACAAATAAAGAAATTAGTAGCGTACCACATCAAATTGTTTGGATGTGTGGTAATGGTATGAAAGAGAACACTTTTTGGAGGTTCAAAAACTTTGCCCAAGAATGTAATACAGTAATTGAATTCTTGTTACATAGTTGGTAATATGTACTATATGATGACTATTGAATTAATGTAAATGTTGCTGTAATATAAAATATGGTTATTTATATACTGCATGGATTTGTGAACTCCTCAAATAGAACTGGATAGAAATAGCCTGAAGCTACACTGTACTTCTGGAATGTACTTTATGACCTGAATAAACTTACTTGAAAGGAATTACCATGTATTAGGTCTGCTGTACTTTCCTTCATTAACATGTTATTATTATGGACTGATGTTAGTTTGTTTATGTTTTATTACGGTTTTCGTTGTTTCCTATATTCATGTTTCTAGGCTCTCAATAACCTATTCGAGTAAATCCAGCATTAGCGTCCTTAATGTCAAGTAAGTTAACAACATGTCAATGAACTGGCTTGTTTTGCTCTTCGTGTGACGTTAGTCATGGTGACATGTACTGAACGGAACGGGCCATATAAAGTGCGACTGCGGTCTTGCACACATTCACTCCAAAAGCTACCACTTACGGGCTATTCATGCCCGTGCCGCCTCTAGGGACTTTCAATCAATCCATTCCTCACATTACCTCAGCCTTGAGGTTATCGAGAAGATGGGTGTCTCTGTGTTAACGCTATGTGTTATTTTGCTTGTTGTTTTACTTTGTCTAATCTTGTTTCTGGTAATATTCGCTGTTTGTTGCAGTTATTTTTGGCTCAAAAAATTGTTAGATGAAGACGAGGACGATGCCAGCGAGGCGTTACCGTTGTATAACAGCTCTTCTTTCTACACCATCGACGTAGACTGAAAAATGTAACCCCGAGCAACATGTTAATATCCTTGGCCACAAGCGGAACCCTGAAGAGAGAGTGTCATTTCAGGGATGAAGTCATCCCTGAAATTTAACTTCCAAACGTCATTTTCTTTGATTTCAGCATTTAGCATTCAGCGACTCCTTAATTAATGGGTGACTCGTTAATTTTCTTTCATCATTGTTCTTTGGTAATGAGCATCAATAAGTTTTGTGTGTTGTCATGATTTATATGTAAAATGAAAATAAATATTTATTACCTGATATTGTTATTTTTAAACCCCCTTAATATGATTCGAAAAGTTAACAGGCAAATTTTGTTAGGTCACAAATATGATCTGGAATTGCCCAATAAATATCTGATTTATATACGCTAATGTATTGCATTATACACTATTAAATCATAAATCAAATATCTATCACTATCACCTCTAGACGATCTAATTAGGGGTTTGAAAATATCAAATGATTGGCAGATGCAGTTTAATGCTGACAAATGTAAGGTTTCGAAGCTAGGTAATGTTACCTAGGCAGCTAGGTAATGATCCGCATACTTTACGTCATTATATAATGAAATGTGAAAAAATTGCGGAATTTAGAGATAACACCATCAATAGTGTCCAAGAAATGTGTAAGTACTTCATTCATAATGATGTGCTGCCCGAAATTTGAGCGAAGTATCCAAAATTTGCTTACTGTAGGTAATGCATGCACATGACTGTAAAGCTGCCGCCCAGTTGGGTGGGTGTGGAGCAAGACTAGTAACTGTGTCTCACTATAGATGTAAAGTGCCTTGTATAGTGACTGTTGTGAGCCTCTTGTGCTCAATTAGTATTAAGCTTGTCATTTAAGTTTATCATGCCCGAAACGCTTTGCGTAATAGTGGCTTTAGGCATTGTATGTACTAGCTATACCTATAAGTCAAACAATCCTTGTAAATATTTATTGTATGTATGTACCTTACCTAAATAAAATTGTATTGTATTGTATTGTCTTGTTGATCACTTGTGACACCTCTTTGTGTCACTTGTGACACCTCTTTGTGTCACTTGTGACACAAAGATTATTGATGTGTGTATTTGTGTGGGTGATTGGATATGTATGTATATGTGTATACGTATATATTTGTATGTATGAGGGTGTGTACATGTGTATACAACATTGATAATTTTGTAACTAGCGTCAAACATTGTTATTTGCTTAGCTAAACGAACTAGAGGGTTCAGTTCCTGAACCGATTATGTGCCTCTGTAATCCTTAATTACACCACCTCCCACGGGATGGGTATGGGGTTACCTTACCTTGAGGTGCTTCCGGGGCTTAGCGTCCCCGCGGCCCGGTCGTCGACCATATGGGGTGCATAATAAAGAAAGAAATTGAATTGGCATTGTATGTACTAGCTCTATCTATAAATCCATCAATTTATGTAAAATCTCTTGTATGTATGTACCTTACCTGAATAAACATTTATTATTTATATTATAAATTCGCTACTTTCAGCAATTTGGACCTGGCAACCCTCGAGTGTCCCAGCGCGCACACGCGCCCGGGCTGACCCGAGGCCGCCAGTCTTCACAGCACCGCTCATCTCTTCACCTTAGAACGTGAAAAGTAACAAATATTCATCCATTTTGAGTGTCGCTGGTTCATTGCGAGGGGCGGGACATGCGATTGCCTCGACCAGGACCTACCAGGAGGCTCAGAGCGCCTGGTAACAGCTGGAAAACAATAGTTTGAAAGGATGTTTACAAACACACACACACACATGGCCGTGATCAGCTGATCTCTCGGCCCGAGCTCTGTGGCCAAATTCAAACCCTTCCAAAAATATTAGCATGGTTGTGTTAGTCATTTATATATGGTGCTATAGTGGTTTCCAGTTGATTGTGTAGCAGGTAAGTGTTTTTAGTCTATTGGAAGAGTTTAGGCTCAGGTTCGGTTAGGCCGTGTTGGGTTATGATACTTGATTGATACCTGGTTGATGGGGTTCTGGGAGTTTAAATTTAAATTTTGCCCCGAGGAGGGGCGAGCGGTTCTGGGAGTTGTACTACTGTATTTGCTTGGGTTGGGTTATACTGTATTGGTTGGGTTGGATTATACTGTCTTTGCTTGGGTTGGATTATACTGTCTTTGCTTGGGTTGGATTATACTGTCTTTGGTTGGGTTGGGTTATACTGCAATTAGATGGGTTGGGTTAGGCTGTGTTATGTTATATTGTATTTACTCGGGTTGGGTTGAACCATGTTGGGTTATACTGTATTTGCTTGGGTTGTTGGGTTATACTGTATTTACTTGGGTTGGGTTAGGCCATGATGGGTCATACTGTCTTTGGGTTGGGTTAGGCCATGTTAGGTTATACTGTATTTAGTTGGGTTGGGTTATTCTGTATTTGGTTGGGTTGGGTTATACTGTATTTGGTTGGTTGGGCTATACTGTATTTGATTGGATTGGGTTACACTGTATTTGGTTGGGTTAGGCTGTGTTAAGTTGAGTAGGTTTTAAAATCTATTGGCAAAGAATCTGTTATGTCACATGTATCCTCTGGCTCGACCCAACCAAACACGACTTGACCTGACCCACACCAGCTGGACCTAAACTAACACAGTCTAATCTAATGATACTGATTGTACTGTATTAACAATTTGAAAATGAGCTTTGTTGAAATGCTTATGATTTGACTACACCCCATACAAAGTGATCTATATTGACTGAAACCTAAGCAAATGGCTTGCTTAACCAAGTGAAATCTACCATCTCCAGAAGCATGACTGACTGGAAAGGGCAAGTTGTTAAATAGTAGTAGGTCGTTGACCAAAACACACACTGGAAAGTGAAGGGACGACGACGTTTCCTGGACCTGGACCATTCTCGTCGTCCAGGAATGGACCATTCGTTTGTCCTGGACCATTCTCAAGTCGATTATCGATCTCACAATTGACTTGAGAATGGTCCAGGATGGACTGAAACGTCATCCCATCACTTTCTAGTGTGTGGTTTGGTCAACATATTTCAGCCACATTATTGTGACTCCTCATCTGCAAAGTAATAGGTTCTTCCATTTACCACTGTAAGTTCCAAAAAATGATTAAGAAGGTAAAGTTTGAGCATTGCTTGGGTCACTAGGTGCATTACACATTTGCCAGTGATGGTCCGAGTCATCCATGTTTGTTACATTACTTTATTTTGAAATAATTTGTACTACTTGTGTTTTGTGAATTTTCCAGGTACTGTGCAAGGTGAATCCACTGGCCATTTTGTGCTGCCCCACCGTACAATGTTCCAGTAAAATCAAAGGTGGTCAAGACAGAAATGAAATGACTATCCCTGTTTAAACCTAGGCCTGAATTGTAGTGCTCAGGGATAAAAACACTGAAAGAGACCACTCAAGACCTTGACAATGGCAACGTACGGCCCAGAAGACCTGGCCTCGAGGGAGTTGTCATGCCCCATCTGTTTTGAGGATTACAACGGTCAAAACACCAAAAGAATACCCAAGCTGCTACCCTGTCTTCACACCTTCTGCAGCGATTGCACCAAAAAGTTGTGGAAGAGTAATGGATCTATCGAGTGTTCCATGTGTCGGATGTTACATGAAGAGGTCAAATTAGATGACCTCTTGGACAACTATGTGATAGTTGAGCATCTCAGGTGTGTGCTCTTTCAATCTCTCTTTGCATGCTCTTATTAAACTGAAATACTGAAGTTTTAAAGATTTATCTAAGGGTTCTGGTAGTAAAGTCGGGTACCATTCTCGACTCACAATAGAGAATTACTGGGTTTGAATCTTGGGCAGGACAGGAACGATTGGGCACAGAGTTGAGACTTTTTTTCATATATGGCTCAAAATGTTGCTAAAAATCTAAACTTTTTAATGGTAATAAAAAATAAATATTGGAAAACATTGGCATTTAACTAATGTAAATTTATAATACTGTACAAACAAAACCTGTGATCTTCAGTAATTGTGTATACAGTATACATGTTCAATTTGAAGCCTTAGATAGCCTTACTAATGAACATGCATTGGTATAATTATAATACAGTACCAATGAATTGGTATAATAATTATGTATACCAATGAATGTTTTCATTAGCAAGACTATTTAAGGCTTCAGATTGAGCATGCATTTAATGTTTGTACACATTGTATATTGGATGTACTGGTACCATTATTTATTGAATATATATATATATATATATATATATATATATATATATATATATATATATATATATATATATATATATATATATATATATATATATATATATATATATATATATATATATATATATATATATATATATATATATATATATATATATATATATATATATATATATATATATATATATATATATATATATATATATATATATATATATATATATATATATATATATATATATATATATATATATATATATATATATATATATATATATATATATATATATATATATATATATATATATATATATATATATATATATATATATATATATATATATAAATATAATAATCCTTCTGATGTATTAATATACAAAAGTACTTGAGGAAATTCCTGTTTCAGTTCTTCCTCCTTGGTCTCACTGTTATTTATATATTTATATATATATATATATATATATATATATATATATATATATTTTTTTTTTTTTTAAGTTTTGCATGTGCTGATTTGAGTCATTTCTAAAATGTAGCTACTAAACATGTTTAGAGAAAATAGGAAAAATCCATGATTCTAAGTCTTCTGATTTTACATTTCTATTCGGCAGGAAAGAGCTGGAGAAGCGAGACCATGAGCTGGCAATGAGAATTGATCAGGGTCTATGTGACTTGGACTTGTGAGTCTAGCTTTTCCTGTGTTTTATTGCCATGTCAGGTTATAATCTTTTCCCACATTTCATTTTGTAGCCCATGCTGGATTGTTTTTGTCCAAACAAAAATTAATATATGTACTGTTACACACAGAGATCACACTAGCGTGATGCATCAAATGAACAAATCCATAAGGGCCATGACGAGGATTCGAACCTGCGTCCGGGAACATCCCAGACACTGCCTTAATCGACTGAGCTACGACAGGGTTAAAAGGGTTGAAACCGAAGTTCTACTGAACTTACTGGATCTCGTAGCCTCTCTGAGGCACAAACCAGGATTTTACACAATCCCCCCTGCACCCTTTGAACCCTGTCATAGCTCAGTCGATTAAGGCAGTGTCTGGGATGCTCCCGGATGCAGGTTCGAGTCCTCGTCACGGCGCTTGTGGATTTGTTCATATGTACTGTTGTTGCAAAAAAATTAGGATTGCTAGGCCAAGATTAATTTTAGAAATATATAACTTTTTATATTTCATAATATATTTGTATGTCTATGTAATAAAATGTACTTTTCATCACCAAACAGTGGCATCAGCAGTAGAGACAGTAGACCCAGCAGCAGAGAAAGTGCCGGTAGCAGGCACAGCAGCGCCAGTAGCAGGCACAGCAGCGCCAGTAGCAGGCACAGCAGCGCCATTAGCAGGCACAGCAGCGCCAGTAGCAGGCACAGCAGCGCCAGTAGCAGGCACAGCAGCGCCATTAGCAGGCACAGCAGCACCATTAGCAGGCACAGCAGCACCATTAGCAGGCACGGCAGTGCCAGTAGCAGGCACAGCATTGCCAGTAGCAGGCATAGTAGTGCCAGTAGCTGGCACAGCATCGGCAGTAGCAGGCACAGCATCGCCAGTAGCAGGCACAGCATCGCCAGTAGCAGGCACAGCATCGCCAGTAGCAGGCACAGCATCGCCAGTAGCAGGCACAGCATCGCCAGTAGCAGGCACAGCAGCGCCAGTAGCAAGCACAGTGATGCCAGTAGCAGGCACAGCATCGCCAGTAGCAGGCACAGCAGCAGCAGCAGTAACGAGCACAGTGATGCCAGTAGCAGGCACAGCAGTGCCAGCAGCACCAGTAGCAGGCACAGCAGTGCCAGCAGCAGGCACAGCAGTGCCAGTAGCAAGCACAGTGATGCCAGTAGCATGCACAGCAGTGCTAGCAGCAGCCACAGCAGCAACTCTTTTGGTTTATGGTCAGTATATACAGTATTGTATTGCATATGGTGTCCAGCTAAAGTACACTTTTTTTTTATTTAATTTTAATTTTAAAAATTTAATTTTAATTATGCTAATTTAGTCTAGAATGGTATTGGATGGTTAAAGTGATATTTCATGTAGTGTACATCAGCATTGCAATTGCCTAAAGTACAAATGTTAAAATTTATCTGGCCAGTACAGATGTGAATACTGTACAGGTGTTTCCTTATATTTTGACTCTGCTTTCTCAGTACTGTACATATTTAAATGGTCTAATCTTCTCAGCAAGTCTCATCTGATTTGGCTTTTTGTCTTTTTGTTTTATGGCTGTTAATTGATTCTTATTTCACCTTTATTTACTTTTCATATTTTCTCCTTCCCTTTTATGCTTTTTAAAGTTTTTCCCCTCTCATAGGGAGCTGCCATTACTTCAGTTTCCATGCTTTACTTTTCCACCTTTTTTTGTCTAATCTTTGGCCTTGTAATGTAATTACTCCCTCGTCACATTTTGCTCAGTTTATCTTAATGGTTTGGTGCTTTCCCCTGATAATTCCCTTCCCTTCAACTTGATAATGATCCAGGAACTGAATCATCATTGCATACATTTCACATGTGAGGTTGGGCAATTAACATGTTATTTTATTGTATTTTTGACCCTAATCACCTCTTCTGTTGCTGCTGTGCAGTTCTGCACCTGAACCCACTTTGCCCTTCAATAAAATGAATCCTCCCCCAATCACAGAAGCTCTCCCTCTGTTTTCATTTCAACCTGCACCAGTTCCTCTCATGTTCCCTTCCTTATATATTACTGTATATTATTTCTCTTCCTTGATAGGCCAATCTTGAAACACAAAACATTGAAGTACAAGGCTACCAAGCATCGTCCTACTCCTAGCATACCCCAAACTGTGTGCATACAGCCTACAAAGAAACGCCAGCGCCAGGAATTTCTCTGCTGCTCCTCACAGCAGGAACCCTCGACTAGCTACACAAACAGCCCTACGCCACCTCCCCGGAAATGCAAGAAAACTCGTAGATTTTCAAAATTCCCAACTAACCATGAGGAATGGACAAAAATCGGTCATTCCATTGCATCATTACAGGCCACTGTGATGCAGGTCACAGCAGCTATCCAAAAACGAACACATGCTAAACAGCATGCATGTTCAACAGCTGTCTCCCACTTCAGATCCCACAATTCCTGACTGAGGACTACAATCTCAACCTCAAGTGAGTTACATGTAGGTCTAATTAAGTTTCTTTAATGAGCATAAAATCCTCTAGGTCTTGACCATCTTACATGGCATACATCTTGCTTCACCTCGAATAATGTAACTGGGAACGTAAATATAGTAATTTTTTTAAATTAAATTAAATAGGGTTCCAACTTCTCAGGGCAATGCACTCTTAAAGATAGTGAAGAATGTAATCTTGTAAAATAATGCTAGGTTCCTTGTGGGAAAAAACAAATAGGAAGTGTTCCAGATGGTGGAGGGAGGTGGATGTTGTGGTGAAGGTAGTGAAGAAGTTGGTGGTGGTAGCTAATGTGGAAGTGGCAGGAGGGATATTGTAATGGACAGTGCTGGGTAGAATTGGTTACCAAGAAGGAAAGGTTAATGCATTTGTATATACTGTACTGTAATGTATTGTGTATATGGCAACCCAAGAAGAGCACAGTACATGTTGTATAAAAGGGTGAGATACTGGAGTGTGGTAGTGCTTGTTGACCAGACCACACACTAGATGGTGAAGGGACGACGACGTTTCGGTCTGTCCTGGACCATTCTCAAGTCGAATGTGAGAATGGTTCAGGACGGACCGAAACGTCGTCGTCCCTTCACCTTCTAGTGTGTGGTCTGGTCAACATACTTTAGCCACGTTATTGTGACTCATCGCCTGCATGTGGTAGTGCTTGTTTACTCAAAATTATATATTTTGGGGACCTTACAATGAATGTACTATAATGATATTAAAAAGAAATCAATACTTATAACCTTACATGTTTACTTTTATTCAATTTTTATTTGGGCTGATGCCTTATTCCATGAAAGTAAGGAAAGAAGGTACAGTATTGATAATCTATTAAGTATATTTTTTATATAGCATTTATTCTGCTGTATATTGCTGTATTTTACTTAAAGAACAATAAATATTTTCTTTACAGCAAATACATGTAATGTTTATGATTACAGAAATGACATTGAAGGTGATGACAAAGATGACTGAAGAACTTTAAGAAATTAAAGGTAGAAGTATGGGAGCATGATGGTGATCCTGAGCAAGCAGCAGCAGCTATCCTTTTAACTATATAATGCTTGTTTTTTATTACAGTATTATCATTGGAAGAGACGGAAGTCGAAGGTAATAAATATATACATGGTCTTGATGAAAAATGCCAATATATTTGTTGGCGATACCATTCAGACCATTTTTAATATGAATGGAATTAGATTGATTACAATTGGATAGTCTGTGTTTATTAGTAGCCAATTATCAGTGTTAATAGGTATATGGTATATCTTGGCTCGGTCAACTATACAGATTTTTCTGTGCCTTCATTTCAGACCACTTGATGAATTAACACGGCTTCCAAATGTAATTGTGCATGCTGTTTAATCAGAAAAAATTGTAATGTTAAGCGTTTGTTGGAACTTAAAATTATTGGGAATGTGGAATTTGTTAAACAAGCTGGTTTTCCCAGTTTTGTTTTTATCTTGGTTACATAAATTTATATTTGCAGACAAAAATTACTTCTTAATAAGAACATTGTGAGGTCATTGATGTTTGGAAAGTATTTTTTGCAAGTGTTCATTTTAAGAATGTTTGTATGAAAATATAGAAATAGTAATTGGGAACTTTTGTCATATTTTAGGGTTGAACATTATTTGTTAACTTTTAATTTCATCTGTCTGTGACCCTTTGGAATTTTTAAGATAAATAAAAGGAATAACTGCCTCATTTGTCATTATATGCCATAGTTATAGCCAGGCCTGTGATTCTGTCTTCATGAGAAATGAATGTGATGTATAGTAATAAAAGATGGTTATACATTTTGATTACATAGTGAATCTGTAATATTTGACCTTTGGTTGCAAGCATCCTCTGGAATGGTTTCCCACTAAAGGTAGAACTAAGTAAAAAATTAGTTTCATACTTAAAAGAACTGCCATTTCCATCCATTTGCTATATTTTATAATTGTATGGTGGTGTTACAACATTGCAAAGGACTAAATGTGTCTTCTTAGGGGAGGGGGAGGGGGGCTCTGGTGGTTCCTTCAAGCCTTGGTGTAATAACCCTGAACTACTCTTCCCCTACTCCTTACATAGCCTTCCCGGTTTGGTGCCTTCTTTTGATAATTACTTGCTTACTCTTCCCCTACTCCACTTACTACCCCAGCTCAACATTGCTTGCAGATCACTGTGACCATCAATGATCTGCCAGTTTATATTGAGACTGGAATATTAAATAAGGAGGAAACAAGAGAAGGGATTATTAATTTTATAATAATAAAGAACTTAAGTGATACTGCCACTGCCTCCCTGACCATCTCTTGAATGTGTCTATTACTGAGCCCCCAGGAAGGAAAGAGATAATCATGAAACTCGTGGGCATATAAATCTTGGGAATTAATTTATATAATTTTACTTATCGAGGGTTCAGGGGCTTCCAATTCAGCACAGGAATACCACATAAAAATGACTGCATTAATCAAAGGGGAACAGATAACTAAACACAAATACATTAATACACTTTATTTAATTTAAACAAGTAACTTGAAATCAAATTGAAAAATATATATCCTACTCTAATAAAACATTCGTAAGAGGCAATTGGTCTGAATTACTGAATATATATGAATGCTCAAGAGAGCACACTACCTTAATCCTGCAATCTGGCCTGATGTTGAATGGCTTGCCCACCAGGTCCTGAAGGGACCTATCTAAAGTCGCTCCCATAGACACACTGACGAATATTTTTTCTAAAACTCTGTGGAATAGGCTCCTCCCCCTCTTAGGTTTTCCTAAGTCCAATTAAGTCCTGCCTTTCCAAGCCTAAGCCAATGAGTACAAAGTCTTGCTCTAGTCTGAGGGCCCAGCCAATGGGACGTCTGCACTACCCTGGGCGACTCCTCCCACTAGGCCTCCCTGAAAGTTATGTTTTATTCCCGTAGACTTTTGAATCATTCCCACACTACAACAGGAAAGCACACAGCCAAATGGCCCCCAGCCACCGACGCAACATTTGAGACTACAGTTTATGACTCCTCAATTTGTCATTGGTAAAAGCAAGGCAGAGGAAACGATTGGAAATAGGTTGTGAGGAAGATTAGGGAATAGGGGATTGGAAGAGGACTGGCCTGAGACGGTCGGACAAATGTCCCTTGCCTACAAACGATGAGTTTATGACCGAAGGTGGTCACCAAGGGAGGGCAGGAAGGAAAGGGGAGAGCTATGATCTGCACAGATCATGACACGGAAGAGATTGGAACTCGCCCTGAAATTGCCATTTAATTACATTCAACACTGAGATTTTGCATACAGGCTTCAGAGACATCATCTACTGACTAGCCGTTTTAGCTAGTAAAATAAACGTATAATTTTGATTATGATGGTGTTTACATAGCCTTCCCAGTTTGTGCCTTCTTTTGATAATTACTTACTTATGATGGTGGTGATACCTTCTCTGGCTGGAAGAACAGGAATTCATAATCTAGGAGAAAAGGACATACACCATCAAGAGGGAATTGTTAGCCCTCCCTGCCCTCTCCCCCCCCCCCCCCTTGCCAATGCATTTTCATGTTTTTGTTATATCGCCCCCTTTTTTAATGTTTTGTTTTATTTGATTACTAAAGGCCACTTGCTGGCAAATACAACGAAAGGTTAAAAGTTGTGAATTTCTTGGAGTGCCTGAGCTTCCAGACAGAAACTGACATCAGGTATTTCCCCTTTGAATTCAACCTATCCTTCAAAGAACATCGCGTTGTAGGAGCGAGCCTCTCCGGCTTGGTGCCTTCTTTTGATAATTACTTTGTAGGAGTGAGCTAGGTTTGTTTTAGCTCCGCATGCGTTACACAAGACCAAAAATTGTCATACAGTACTAAAAAATGGAAGCGGCTCCCAAAAGTGACTTACTGTCCAGTATTCTGTTTTGGGTCCTCTGGTAGGTTAGTAGAGGCCAATTTAAATTGACCATTTTCTTGACGTTGGGGAAACCGTAAAAGGACAGACTGCTGAATTGGCACACTAAATGTCCTGAAACAAGAAACTGGTAACTCTCGGGGCCTCTGGTATTGTCAATGAGCATAGAACCCAATTCTCGGAGAAAGCTCAGGGCACCCTTGCCCAAGGAGACGTGTCTCAGATGCTATGGAAATTAAGTGTTCCACAACATCCTTCTAGTTTCTTGTATTTGATTTTACCCTTTCTCTGCGGTTGGCTGCACGATGTTGCTCAATACATTAGCATGAATGGTTGTCAGCCAGGGTGGACAGGCATGCAAAACCCCACTATATCTTGATACCCAGATGCACCCCTCGCCTGCCCTCCCAAATGATGTACAACGTGACAAGCATTACCCAACTGAGGAAGTGGACATGGCCTAGGTCCATTGTGTGGACGAGCTGTTTGTTGTGGTAGCGGGGCTTGGTGTAGGGAGTGACAGTGGAGGGGAACATGGGTGGTGGTGGAGGAAACATACAGGCAGAGCTTCCCTTGTTGCGTTTGGTATATGTTTGGGAGGCATGACATCTTACATAAGGCCTCTTAAAGTTAAGATGCCTTACCTAGGTTTTTGTAGGTACAGTACAGTAGTTTAAAAAAGTTAAAAAATTTCAACCAATAGCAAAGCAGTTATCACAATTTAAGATCCCTTTTACCAGTATTCTTTACCCACTAAAAAGGGGTTAAAAGTAAACATCTTGCAGAGCTATGGTTGGGATACTATCTGTGATGCCACTTGCATTTGCTCTTCTAGACAAATGATTGTCTATCTCAAGCATGCAAGTGAAAGCCAAGTGTGGTTTGCCACTCACTGACTTGCAATACAGGAGAACTTGCTTTCTGGTTGGCAGTTTTATTCATAAGCAAGAGTGCAGAAGTATGAAGTGGTGGGGCCAGTTCCTGGAACACCCGTGGTATTGGTTGAAAGCGCCTGGATGTCTGCACTGAAAATTTCACATATCTTCGACTAATTGGTCATTTTGGCTTAGACAGAATTTTAGTTAGCTAAATAATTACCTATATACAAGCCATCCAGGTAAATAAGCAAAGGTATTGGGAGGAGAGGATGCAAAATCCTGTTGTTTCACTTCCCAAAATTAGATTACAGTATATCTCTGGTTCTAATGGTGCTTTGGGGTAAAGGTAATAAATTATTTTGTGGCTGCATATATTGTCCGTTTCAGAAGGGTGACTGCTAGAGTTTAGGAATCCTACAGGGAATAATAATAATAAAGGTATTTTCCTAGGAACTGATAAGTGTTGGTTTACTTTCCTTTAAAATTACATCAGTGTTGCAGTTGTTTTGAACAAAAAACTGAATAATGGGAGATTTAACAATGAGAATATCTACAGATTTAATAGACATGGTCATCGAACCTATTTTAATGACCATGTCTGGTCATTAAGCTGAACTATATAAGGGAAAGATTCCCCACGTTAAGGAAACAGTATCATAAGACACCAAGCCAGGAAGACTCCATCAGTGTTCTAGATATTCAAAAGCTGCTAAATATCACTTGTGTGCTTTTGCTCTCGTATTGGCATCCCAAAGCGAGCGATATCATAGGCATCAGATTCATCAAGGATTCTATTGATGGACGTTAATAATGCACGACATACGGTCATCTTGAAAATCTGGACATTATGCAAAGTGCACGACTAAATGGGACAATAATGAGCAGGGCAGTATATCATCAAGTACCTGCGAGTTAAGCATGTATGGTTAATATGTAACCTAGCCAAAGCCATTTGCTACTAGGTACATTAAATAATCCTTTTTTTAAACTAATTACATACTGTACAATATAAGGAAATACAAAATTACTGTATTTAATTTTTTGTTTTTATATAAATTATATACAGCTTCAGAAAATGGTAAATGCATTTCTACGAACTTACATTATTACACATTAACTTGGGAATATTCATCAGCCTTAAAAGATACCAGAAGTCTATACTGTACTACCAGTCTAAATAAATTTAGGCAGGTAGGTTAGGTAGCATTCAAGAATGAAACCAAGTGCTGGAAAATTACTGACATTACAGCACATTGAAAAAATTAATTTCTTTAGGTAGACAACAATTACAAATTAAGTTTCAATAAAATAGAGAATATTTTATCTTTTTGTTGAAGTTATTTGTATTAGAAATGAGCAGCGTGTATGGAAATACTAATCAAAACCTGATAAATGTATCAAACTTATTTAAATTGCCACCAATATTCAGCTGTCAATTTAGCCCTTTGCAAATGCAAATAATTTGTATAATTGACACATTTGCCCCTTATATTTTTTTATTTTCAACTGTACTGTCTTCTGTAACAACTCTACGGCCAACAATTATATATTAATAGTACGCATAAACAGAGGTGATAATCAACCCTTTCCTTTGCTCTCGACACTTTTATCATCATTAGTAGCACTGGTGAGTTGCTTCAGGGTGCCTGAAGCAGTAATTGGTGTGTTCTTGAGTGTTTCTTCACTCATCTTCTTTGTTTTATGATCCTCTGGGACTATAACTACAAACGTGTTGAAGTGCTGAAGAACTTTTTCTGAAATTATGAAATAATTGTTTTAAATACCTGTATATGTAATAGTTGTGATAGTTCTGCCTTCTACTTCAAGGAAAAAAAGTATGGGGAGGGGACACATCTATTCAATATCTCATATACAGTCGTTACACAAAAACGAGCAGAACTACAGCAGCTTAATTACTTCAATCATCCCTGTGGTTAAATGCTCAATAAGTATTGTATGTGTAGTGCAACAGATCTACTCCACCTTCACAGCAGCACTACTGTGCAGGAAATATGAATATAATGTACTGTGTATCCTTTTCCCTGTTTTGTCATCTTTGGTCACACTAGCACTACATTGCCAGTTAGAAGTTGGTTCTGATCTCGCCACCTCCACATTTCCCTTTTAATAAATACCAATACTCATTATTTATGACCAAAACAGGACTGAGGTGGCGAGGATGATGGAGGGTAGTGTGTTGAAGGCATTGCGCCTCTGGTTGGATTAATGACATTACTGTAGTGCTGTACCTGAAGACGAGAAGCCTCTGCCTCCTCTCTCATTATACAGTACTATACACTTAATATACCATGATGGTACAGTATATCCAAAATACAGTACATTCATTTCCTTTAATGAAAAGCATCAACAGTATACCTGTCAAGTATACTGACATCATATACATCACATCAACACATACCTGTCAAGCCGGTATCCAATTTATATTCATAGGAAATTTTCTTTGCTGTCCAAAGCTCGGGATCCTCATGATGATGTGATATGGCCTTCACAGCATCTCTTAAGATTATCTTCCCATAAGGCACAACCTAGGCAACACATTTGCTTTTATTAAAACAAATTCAAACATACTTTATTTAACATATAAATAAAATATAGCAGTCAAATTTGGAGTCTTTATCAGACATCAATTATGGCTTTACTGAAATCAAATACCTAGTTAATAATTGAATTCAAACACTATGAATCCAAATTATAGTTTGCACCAAATGTAGATGCATCTAGGTACGATATTGCTTGCTTGTGAAATCTTGTTTCCTCTCATAAATAAATTATATTAATTTTGTTGCATTTCAAGTGTAGTTTCCTTTACAACCACTTACTCCTCTTCCTGATTCTAGTATATGTGGTCTTCATGATCACTACCACTTCTCTTTCTAGTTGAAGTATATCTACAAGCTTAAGCTCTTGAATCTGAATTTGTTAACTATTCCCAAATATCATATAGCATATTATGACTTGAGATGGCTATAATGGTTATTAAAGGTAATATGAATAAGTGGAAACTGGAATTTTGATGGATTGTTGCTGCTCACACAATAACAAGACTGTCAAAATAAAAACATTACTATATAATGGAGAAAGTGTTAAAAAATTTATGGCTATTCACATAAAGTTTTGCAAATTGCCTTCACACCTTACCTTTGGCTCAGAGTATCCAAAATCTGCTTCGGAGACAAAAGTGCGATTCGTTGGCAATGGTCGATTAGGATTCTCAGTAATTTGCTGTTGTAGCTGTGGATAAAAATTTCACATGTAATGCAAATGTAATAGTAAGTCAAACATGTGGAACATGAGCTGTATTGTCACAAAGTCTTACATATGAGCACCTATACACAACACTGCAAACCAGACATGACAAAGCAGATCTCATTGAAACTTAAAATACTGAACAACCTGGAGGGTGTTGATCTGGAAAATTTCTTCAAATGCATGCAATGACCCTGCATGTGAGGCATAACAACCCATGCCACGACTACCAAGTTAATAACATTACATTACAGCAGATTGATGAAGAAAAGGACCTTGGAGTCAAAATCCACCACTCGATGAAAGCTGCATAGCAGGTAGGGGAAGCAGTCAAAAAAGGTAACCAAACACTTGGAATACCTTTGACTTTAAAGAAAAGAAGGTAGTGATTCAATTGTATAAATCTCTGGTGCACTCCCATTTGGATGACTGTATCAAAGCATGAAGACCTCATCTTTAGAATTATAAAGCTGCTCTCAAGAAAGTGCAACACCGGGCAACAAAAATCATTCCAGAGCAAAGTCAACTCACTTATCAAGAACGATTGAGAAACATTTGATACTTAAAATACAGTACAACCTCGATTCAACATACCCCGATTCAATGACTCTCCGGCTAGATCGCACACTTTTCAGGCCGGATTTACTCACCCAGATCGACGAACAATGGTTCACTGAAGCGGGGGATGTATGGATTTGCTTACGATGTTGGAACAGAGTTTACAAACTGGTGGAAAACTTTCCCATTCTATAACAGGTTACAATTAATAATTCCCTCATTTGATAAGTTGAACCACACAAGTGGACCACACAAGTGGACCACACAAGTGGTCCACAAGTGGTCCACAAGCTTACGATGTTGGGACAGAGTTCACAGACTGGTGGAAAACTTTCCCATTCTATCACAGGTTACAATTAATAATTCCAGTATATGACAAGTTGGATCACACAAGTGGACCACACAACAAGTGAACCATATGAACCAACTACCAGCCAGAATAGTTCACACAACAAGTGATGCATATTAATCAAACACCAGCCAGAATGGTCCACACAAGTGAACGACTGTTTCCATTACTTTCGTTCACCGATTTGTAGCACATGTATCTTTGCAAATTTAAAAGCTGAAGCGTGAATAGCTAGGTAATGTGTACCTGGCACCAGCTGCATATCCACTTTGTGGACACTTCTTACTACTATTCTTCTTTGAGCATCAGACAGGTGCTTGCATCTCTTTATTACTGCATTATCCCTCGGTTCCAGTTAATAGGAGCTGTTCTCCTTATCAACAAAATGTTCTTATTTTTTAAGTGTCTAAAATAAATTTCTGAAAATATTTTGATGACAGTTTCATGATGCTGAAGCCAATAAGTTGGAGATTTGTTTAACATTTTTAAGTTATTTTACATAATTCAAGTATTTTTCGCTTCCAGGCCTCCAATATGCACAGTTTAAGGGTTAATATCTAGCATAAGTCACCAGCTACATGCAAATGATACTGTGCTGTACCTACCAATGGATTTTCTGAGGTAACGAACACTTCTTTGAGTCTTTCTAATAAGAAATCATCTTTTTCCTCCATATGTCTTGCAACTTCTTTGGGCTGAGCTGTAAAAATGGAGTTAAAAATAAATATGATTACTGTGCTGTATAGCTAAATAGTACGAAAACCAGACGATATATATATTTATCTAGTTCTATTACAATATGTGAACTGTAAAAAGTTATGTTGAGAGTTCAGTTTTGAAGTGGAACATAGTATCAAGTAATTTTCTTAAGAAAAATAATGGACATTAGAAGGAGCAATTGTGCGATGTACCATTTAACAAACACTTAAAATCATGTAATGATACTGAATACTGTACTTTCTACAATATGCAAAATAGTGAAATACTGTACACTGAAACACCAAACATGAGCATTCTTCACCATCCTCCACCCTTTATTCATAATCTAGCAACAGCAGAATTTACTTATTAAACACATTTTCTACTGTACATCAAATTACATACTGATTTTGAAATGAATATAAACAAGAAATAAATATTAATACTTCTAGATCAAATTCATCCCGAGGTAATGTCTATAATTAAGGGAAAATTACAGGAAATTTAACATTTACCTTTGATAGAGTCTTCTATAAGTTTTATAGTTGACTTGTGCCATGGTGCTACCGGACGTTTCTCTTTAGCAATTTCCTTAAAAACTCTTGAATCCAAGTTGTATTCTCTTAGAGGTTTGGTTGCCCTTCTACTCAGTAGAGAAATTATTTTGCCCATCCTAGTAGAGAATGAAATTGGATGTTAATATTTAATGTGTGTGTGTGTGTGTATACACAAACATGCACTACCAGGCTTGTAGGGGTCTGGTAGCTGAGCAGACAGCGCGCAGAACTCGTAATTCTGTGGCCCGAGTTCGATTCCCAGACCAGGCAGAAACAGACGAGAAAATTTTCTTTCACCCTGATGTATAAGTTCACCCTATATAAGACTTTTTTCCTAACATGGCCCATGATTAGTTTACTACCAGGACCCCAATTGATGATAAGGGTTCAAACCTGGGTCAATACTGCTCATCAGGCGTGATGGACTTTTATTTTTCATCAGTCTTTAATTGGTTGAGAAATTTCATCAACATTGTCAATTGTATCTTATGTACTGTATGTCTTAATGGATTATTGAAGTCTATATGGGACGGATTTAGTGCATACAGTGGGATGGTCGATTATTTTATTGGCCTATTTGTTCACAGCTTCACTGTGAAAGATAAGTTTTTCACCGACTCATTTCACCTGGGCAGGGACGGTGTTACATTGGACGTGGCCTGTAGCACAGTGGTTAGTGGTGTAGTTGGCTCACAACTGAATGGTCCCGGGTTCGATTCTCAGGTGGGATAAGACATTTGGGGCATACTTTCTTACACCCAATGTCTCTGTTCACCAAGCAGTAAATAGGTATCTTTGAGTTAGGGAACTATTTTAGGTTGCATCCTGGGAACCTCAATAAACTTAACAGCCATCCTGTGCTGAGCAATGGGAAACCCATATACTGTATACACAGAAATCACTGTAGCGTGATGCATCAAATGAACAAATCCACAAGGGCCGTGATGAGGGTTCGAACTTATGCCCGGGATGATCCCAGACGCTGACTTAGTCGACTAGGCCACGACACGGTAAAAGAATTGTAACCGGGAGTTCCACCGACCTCACACAGACCCTTATTACGGCCCTTGTGGATTTGTTCATTTGATACATCACGCTATTGTGATTTCTGTGTGTATTGAAGTGAGGGCAAAGAGGTAGAACAGCTTGTTGGCAGAGCCCGAGTGCATGGGGGAATTGTATAAAACCCTGGTTTGTGTCTCAAAGAGATTGCAGGATTCGTGTGAGGTCGGTGGAACTCCCAGTTACGATTCTTTCACCATGCCGTGGCCATAAGAAATATTGCCGGAACAGCTGTGGACATCTTCAAGAGAAAACTAGATAGTTTTCTTCGAGGAGTGCTAGACCAAACAGGCTGTGGTGGATATGTGGACCTGCAGGCCACTCCACGCAACAGCCTAGTGGACCAAACTCTCACAAGTCAAGCCTGGCCTCGGTCTGAGCTTGGGGAGTAGAACTCCCAGAACCCCATCAAGCAGGTAGTCGACTAAGGCAGCATCTGGGATCATCCTGGGCGTAAGTTCGAACCCTCATCACGGCCCTTGTGGATTTGTCCATATATACTGTACTTTATGTAAATTCACTATACATCTGTAAATAGTTCCCCGGGAGTTGTTCAACTGTTGTGGGGGCTGCATCCTGGGGTTGGGTTAGTAGTTCGACCTTGGAAGCCTCGATATATGCCCAACATGTACAGTATATATACACACACACACATACCCACTGGCTTCCTGTCCCTCCGACAATACCAAGTAAAATATACTTATTATATCCTTCATAACATTTAACATCGATCCCCCAATTAACACCTACACTGAACTCTTATAATCCCCACCATATACATAACCCTTAACATTATGGGTAACGTATCTCACGGCTATTGCTAGCAATAAAATCAGACAAATTTTAGTAAAGAGTAGAAAAATATCATTATTACCTATAATATACGCGAGGTGCCGGCGTCGTCTGGCCATCAGCTGCTGGCTGACAACACCGCACACTACCTGCCTAAACCCCTCCTGTCCCGCTGGGATAAACACCTATACTTTTATTATTGAATTTATTTTTAATTATTTATATATATACAAGCGTTCTTACATTCTTGTATAACCACTAGTACGCGTAGCGTTTCGGGCAAGTCCTTAATCTTATGTTCCCCGGAATACGACCCAGCCAAATCGTTTAAAAAATAATTATTAGTAATAATTTATCAATATGATTATTACTAGAGTTAATTAACTGAGTTCATTTTTCTACTTTCTTAATTTCATACTAATTATAGGATCATAACTAAGCAAGTGTATAGTTTTATAGTTTTTATTTACTTAAACAGTATACAGAGGGTCGGTGTGTTGTCTGAAGACAGAGTTTATCGTACTGCTTATCATCATCAAAGCCATCTTCTTGTAGCACACAGGAACATAACGTATCATTACACTTCTATTATAACCTTTACTCACTCACAAGATGTTGTTTGATCACACATACATGTATCATCCCCAGCTCGACCTGAGGAAATTCGTTCCAGTGAATGTCACAAAACGAGAATCAGGTAAGTAAAGCGTCCGTCTTAATGCCTTTCCCGCCAGTTTTACATGTCAGGCGGATGGTCCTAGAGCAATGATACACACTGGATACACAAAATAGTGTGGCAGTGTTCTAACTGTCCATAGAGGACACACAAGAATGTACATATGCTGGTTTGGACTGTAACTGAATGATCACATCTGTGGTAGAAGGTAAACTAATCAATAAATCAAGAAACTAGAGTACTAGCTCAGCAATTGTAGAGAACTGTCACCAAACACGAGAGGCTTTTACGTCAGCAGTAAGTGTCTGTAGCAGTGGCTGCTCACTCTTTCCTTCTCCAGCCCTTCAAAGTGTAAATACATGCTTGAAACTTCAGGATAAGGCTTATTACGAGAGCTCTCATTGGTGCACATGCATCTTGCAGCGTCATTGTATGTAAAACTAAGAAAGCCAAAATGAGTTTCGTTCGAGATTTGTATTGTGGCATTTTTGTAAGCATATTTAAAAACTTTTGGGAAGGGTTCCATAAAGCTGCAGCCCACCAGGCCGTCATCACACCTGGCCACGGGTATAGAGTCAATGACGCTCCCTGGTGCTGGGGACCTCAGACTTCCCACCACGTTTCCCGGGACAGTGTCACACTCACCATTAATCAAGCGATGCAAGATGGTGTTAATCTTGAAGAAAGTCATCGAAGGGGTGATCGTGCTTGGAACTTTACACGGTACGGCCTTAAGTCTCCATGGTTTCTTGCTGCAAATTTTGATTACATTCTTTGACTTTTTATTCTTCTTCTTCTTCTCCTTCTTTGAATGTATCGAGGCGCGTGTCTGGTCCATGTTGTTGCCTTCCTCGCGATTGATTTCGGTCTGCATATGATTGATGACGAAATCACCACCAATGATGTCCACCACAGGTAAGTCTTGGGGGGCGTAGTAGGATTCTTGTACATGACTGGGTCTTCCCGCCAGGGCCGTCTCTCCAACCGCTCTTCCAGGACGCCCCTTCCGGTGCGACTCAACCCGTTCAGTACTGACTGTCTTCAACCTGGATCCACGTTTACTTCCTTCGAACCTAGATCCGAGTTCGCTTGTTCCGAAACCACTATATCCTCTTTCGATGGGGGCCGTCGTCCACGAGGTGACTGGTGCCTTCCAGGTGGGAGTGTTGAGGGGGTCACCGCCAGGGGCACCGACGCCACCCACACTACCATCACCATCCCAGTGTCTGGCAGGTCGAGGCCGGGCGTGGTGACCACTACAAGTCAGACCCATAAAGATGCTCACCAACGCCACCAGTGGAGAATGAACGTTGAGCCGCGCCATATCTGCGAAAAAAAAGGATAAGAATTTAAAGTTTCTTCAATAAGCTGACTATTAATCATGAAATAAGCATTGAGATATGATTATAATAATAATTTATAATTCATTTTGTCGGGGGACAGGCAGTCTATGTATATACATGTTAGGCTTATATCGAGGTCTCTCCCAAGATCGAAGTTAAGTTTCCCTCCCCAGAATGCAACCCCATAACATGATTTCTAGCTCCTGGGTACCTGTTTTCTGCTAATAGAGACATTAGGTGATAGGAAATGCGCCCAGCCCATTCTCTCCCGCCGGGCTGGGACCCAAAAGTGATTCCATGCACCCGCCAAACCCCTCTATTTATGAATGAAAAACGGTTTACACACCACTTACAACTGTTTTCGTTCGAACTCTTCCGACACAAGTGCTTCACTGACGAATTTTGTTCGGACCACAACGCTGTAAATGTGTAAATGTCACCCACGTACTACAAATACAAATAATCGCCAACAGAACCTAAACACCTAACCTAATCTATGCCTATATATGCACAATATGCTATATATTATAATATTAATTTATACTTGAGAAAATTCCCGTTTTGAATGCACAGCATGTAAAAATTTATGAATGCGTCTGTGGGGTTGACTGCTGAAAGTAATGGACTTGAGTCGAGGACGGGTTGCTAACCGCACACAACACTAACCGCAACAACGGACACATATGTATCCGGTCGGACTCCTGGTTCAACCTTGACGACGAGCGGACGTCTGGACACCTCCTCCGCCTGGGAGCCGCCTGATCACGTCTTGTTTTCGCGTTTTGGCTTTGCTACTGCCGTTTGGCATCCCTTTTCAACGGTCCGGTTGTACGACGCCTGGCGCACATATCGCCTTGGGTCACGGGATTGTTGATAGATTTTTTTTTTGACGTGTTCTGGCTGGTTCTCCCGGCGGGGTGACGGTGTTCGGGGGCCGGCTTGGCCGAGAGGTGCCGGGGGTTGGTGGGTCTTGGTGGGCTCCTGGTGTGCCCTCAGCCGTGGTGGGCGGCCGGCTTCTGCTCTGCCGGGGACACTGGATGACTTTTTGCGTTTTAGTTGGGGGCCGAGTTTTGGTTTTGCTACCTGGTGTTCTCTGTGTGGGGCGGGGCCGGTGCTTGTCACCCTGAGGGACTCCTGGGGCTCCCCAATCATCTGCCTGACTGTGCGTTTATTTGCCGTATGGCATATTAGTTTCTAGTGATTGGCGTCACTCGTTTTGCGATTTGGCTTGGCGTTCCACCTTTCCGGGCTTCGCGATTCACCCTTAACGGGTACGCCGGGGCGCATCCGATCCCACGAGTGTCGTCGCCCCTAAATCAACAACAACAATGCATGTAGGGCATAATAATGCACATTAAAACTACCACATCTACAACACTGCCTTGCAGCAGATTGATGAAGAAAAGAATCATAGAGCCAGAATCCACCAATCACTGATAGTTGCATAAAGTTGGAGTTGCAGTAAAAGTAGCCAACCAAATTCTTGGACTAGTCAAACGAACCTTTGACTTCAAGGAAAGGAGAAGGTAGTTATTCACCTGTATACATCTCTGGTGCTTCCTCATTTGAACTACTGCATCTTCAGTTAGTTTAGTTCATTTATTATGCACCCCATACCCATCTTGTGGGCGGTAGTGGAAAGGGTTACAGAGACACATAATGGGCTCAGGGACTGAACCCCACAATTCATTTAGCTAAGCAAGTTACAATCTTGATGAGCTAGTTACAAAATTCAATATAAGTTATCACATCAACAATGGGTTCGAGATCGACCTCAAGTACAGGTTCTAAATTAAGCAACTGACATATGTGGAGAGCTTCAGAAAGACATATCTGCTTTAGAGAAAGTTCAACACTGGGCAACAAAAATCCTCCTAGAACTAAGTCTCGACTCATACCAGGAACGGTTGTGGGTCACAGGAGTAACAACGAAACAAACCAGACATGACAGAGCTCATCTTACTGAAAGATTTAAAAGTTTTTACTTTTTAAATATTAAGTTTTCTCACTTTTAAAATATTGATCAATTAGGAAGATATTGATCCAAACTACTTCTTCAAGGAAGGTCAGAAGTAACACAAACAAGGAGGAACAGCTTCAAGCTTAACAAGCCGCAATATAGGACAAACAACAATAAATGCTTTTTCACCCATAAGGGTATAAAGTTACGGAACTACCTACCCGCAGACGCCGTAAATGCCAAAACTGCTGCAATTCAAGATCCAGCTGGATAAAGGCATCAGAATGAATGGGGGGGGGGGACCTTTGACAAGTCGCCAGTTTCCTGCCCTCGTCCAAGCCACTAGTAAGATGGTGGACCTCAGGTAAATTCAGGTAAAACCCCTGACAACACAACAGTAGGCCTATAGATCATACTAACCCCTCACAAATCACAGCAGTAGGCTTGCATCAAACAAACCCCGGTCAAAAATATTCACCGAACATCAAACTACATGAAGAACTGTCGCTATATAAAATTTACATGTCATACAAAGACAAAATCCTACAAAATCCCACAACAGCATTTCCCAGGAAGCGAGGAATCACAACTTAACAACAACCACTTTGCTACACCTATTTCCAACCGATCTTACCTCCGAGTTTGTAAATCAACCAGCAGATTGTGAAGCAGATGAGGCTATGTGATCGGTTTAACCGCTCGTAGTAACTGGTACAACCGCTCACAGCAACTGGTACAACCGCTCACAGCAACTGGTACAACCGCTCACAGCAACTGGTACAACCGCTCACAGCAACTGGTACAACCGCTCACAGCAACTGCCAGCTCTACAATGCCTCTCCATGGGCCCCGGGAAGCGAATTTATAGCGAGAGAAGCACAGTTTTTTTCATTGAGTGGCGGACCATATTGATTTGTTTAGTTCAAGTATTATTCATCCCATACTCATCCTGCAAGTGGTGATGGACCCCATGCTCATTCATTAAGTGGCTAGGGATCTCATACCCATCTTGTGAGCGGTGGTGGACCTCATACCCATCTTGTGAGCGGTGGTGGAGCCCATACCCATCTTGTGAGCGGTGGTGGAGTTACCCATCTTGTGAGTATTGTTGGACCTCATACCCATCCTATAAGTGTTATCATTAAGACGGTTCTCAAGTAACTGCCTCGAACGCTGTTTAAGGACTTGTACAAACTTCACTACAGGTCGTTAAGTATGTCAGTTTGGCGTATGCTGACTATTTTATCATGTTACACGAGGCTTTCAGATTTTAGACTCGGTGTAACATGATAAACCATTAAACATTTTTTTTGTCCTTCCTGACTCAAGAAGTTGTTCTCCAACTGTATACTATGATTCCTGTGGCCTCCTTCATCATGGTGATATCATTGCACATACTGGGATTGGACTCGAATAGCCACTTCTCGGTCCATTTCCGTGGCTTGTTCAATTTTTGTAGTCAGTGTCAATCCTCCTTCGTCCTAAGCATTCTCACTAGTCTATGGTGAGATATTCTGTGTGATATTTTGTGACTGAAAGTGTTCTGCAGTCCTTAAATAACCCATCTGTTACGGTATCGACACAATCCCCGTAGTGGGGAGTAGCGATTCCTACGCCATCTATGGACCTGCACTCCAACTCACAGGTATTAGGGTGAGGTGCAAACTACGCCATCTGTTGGTGGTGGCGTGACATCGGTGAAAGGCTCCAGTTTCCTGCCTCAGAAGGTGAGGTCGATGAGGATGACCTCTGGCGGGTGGCGTATCGAGATCAACACGCTCTAGGTAGCGACTACAATTGCAATTTCTGGACTGTGTGTTCAGTTCCCCCGGTGAATGGGTGTTATCCTAAGGTCACCCAGTATACTATCTGTCTAGCTAATGACGTTTTATGTTCACAGAGGTGACGTAGGGAGGCGGGACTCCTGGTTCAACCTTGACGACGAGCGGACGTCTGGACGCCTCCTCCACCTGGGAGCTACCGGTTCACGTCTTGTTTTCGCGTTTTAGCTTTGCTACTGCTGTTGGCATCCCTATTCAACGGTCCAGTTGTACGAGCCTGGCGCACATATCGCCTCGGGTCACGGGATTGTTCATAGATTTTATTTTTTACGTGTTCTGGCTGGTTCTCCTGGTGGGGTGACGGTGTCCGGCGACGGTTTGGCCGAGGTGCCGGGGATTGGCGGGTCTTGGTGGGCTCCTGGTGTGCCCTTGGCCGTGATGGGCGGCCGGCATCTGCTCTGCCGAAGGACACTGGATGACTTTTGCGTTTTAGTTGGGGCAGAGTTTTGGTTTTGCTACCTGGTGTTCTCTGTGTGGAGCGGGGCCGGTGCTTGTCACCCTGAGGGACTCCTGGGGCTCCCCAATCATCTACCCGTTTGTGTTTTTTTAGCCGCAAGGCATAATAGTTTCAAGTGATTGGCGTCACTCGTTTCGTGATTAGGCTTTGTGTTACACCTTTCCGAGCTTCGCGATTAACCCATCAATGGTATGCCGGGGCGCATCCGATCTCACGGTCGTTGTCGCCCCTAAATCAACAACAACAACGTAAGGAGGTGATTGCGCTGAGGAGGGCAGTTCACGTTAGGCAGTCCAGAACTCTTTCTTGACTTGGTCTTGTAAGAGGACAAAGTGGCCGCCGTCGGTTATAGCAGTGTGTGTTAGCTGCTGATTTATGTAGTGTTGTTTGGACCGACGTACCCGGGATTGGCCAGGAAGAATTACAAGAGGACAGTGATGCGTCTGTTGAGAAGTGCTGCTAGTGAGTGACTAGAGACTCCTGCCAGGGTGTTAGCTACCCCTGTATGTGATTATTTGAGACCCCTGTCAGTGTGTTGTTGAAACCCTCTGCCTGTGTATATCTGGAGAGCGGAGGTAGGGTATTGGCAGTGTCACGATATGGTGTGTGTGGACTGGCCCATGTTATCTTGAGATTATCTTGAGATGATTTTGGGGCTTTTTAGTGTCCTCGCGGCCCGGTCCTCGACCAGGCCTCCACCCCCAGGAAGCAGCCCGTGACAGCTGACTAACACCCAGGTACCTATTTTACTGCTAGGTAACAGGGGCATAGGTGAAAGAAACTCTGCCCATTGTTTCTCGCCGGCGCCTGGGATCGAACCCAGGACCACAGGATTACAAGTCCTGTGTGGTGCGCCGGGACCCGCGCACCACACACAACAAAACATCAGCTGCTGCTCATCCTAAAAAAAATAAAAAAACTGATTAGAGAGTTGTTATCATGAGCGCTACAGGATTTCCGAGTCTCGTTCAAAAAAAAAAATAAAAAACTCCCACCCGTCCCATCTTATCCCCTCTCTAAAACACACACAAACACACACAAACACACACACACACACATACACAAGGCGCTGGTGGTTGAGTGGACAGCACGCTGGATACGTAGTCCTGAGGTCCGGGGTTCGATTCCTGGCGCCGGCGGAAACAGATGGGCATAGTTTCTTTCACCCTGATTCTCCTGTTACCTAGCAGTACATAGGTACCTGGGAGTTAAGACAGCTGTTACGGGCAGCTTCCTGGTGTGTGGGGAGGGGGAAGGGGGGGATATTAGTAGTTAGTAACAGTTGATTGATTGATAGTTGAGAGGCGGGTCAAAAGAGCAGAGCTCAAACCCCGCAAGCACACCTAGGTGAATACACACATTTTTGCGGAGAACGGAAGGATACCACGGTGGCGCTGCATATTCCATAACTTGGCTGACGTATGTGGTATACAAGGTCCTGAAAGACTCCTTATTCAGAGTCTAATTTTGGCCAACCTTACATTATGCCCCTTACATTGTCTGATTCGCTTTTCAATTTTCTTCGGTTAATGTTCATGCATTTGTACCTTTATTTGGTGCTTCCCTAAATTTTGTGTAACCCTCCACCCCTCTCTCTCTCTCTCTCTGTCTGTCTCTCTCTCTGTCTGTCTCTGTCTCTGTCTCTGTCTCTCTCTCTCTCTCTCTCTCTCTCTCTCTCTCTCTCTCTCTCTCTCTCTCTCTCTCTCTCTCTCTCTCTCTCTCTCTCTCTCTCTCTCTAGCAAGAAAGAATGTAATATTTTCCCACCTTGGATGTGGAAACAAACAGGATATCCATCTTCTGCCAAGAGATACGAGTGGACGTTTCTGTTCCCTGTAGCTGTTTGTGTTCCCAATCCTGCATCTTGTTGTGTTATTCAAGATGCTGCAGAGAGAGAGAGAGAGAGAGAGAGAGAGAGAGAGAGATTACAAGCAGTTGTCTGTCCAGTAGTGGAAATAACCGGACATATTCTCCCCTGCAACTGAGATAACTGTCAGGCTTCTAGTATAGGGACCGGATGTTGACCATCCGTTTTCCCATGCTAAGTCCGACTATGCTGGAAGCTATTAAGGCCACAGAAGTTCGTTAGCAAAACACAGTTTTGGCCGATCGAATCCGAATTCGTGGACTGCGAGTGCTGTTCTCTCGGCCGCGAGGTAATTACCTAAGTGTAATTATCTAAGTGTAGTTACAGGATGAGAGCTACGATCGTGGTGTCCCGTCTTCCCAGTACTCTTTGTCGTATAACACTTGGTTAATGTACATTTGTGTATATTATGTACTATGTACGTAAGGTGTGTGTACATTTGAGAAGGTATATATATGTTCTTTTGTGCAGGTGTGTTTTTCTACCAAGTGTTTATTGGAAGGAAGGTCTGTTCTTCAAGTCATGCTTGGACCAATGGGAGAAGAATCCGCCTCTATAGGACACCCATTTGAAGAGGCACCACCACCACCACAGTTCAATCCTGTGCCTCTTTTATACCTATACAAGAAACACTGTCAATCCACGTCACAATTACCAAACTGACAGCACTACCTTACAACAGATAGATGAAGAAAAGAACCTTGGAGTCAGAATCCATCATTCACTAAAAGTTGCACAAGTGGGAGCGGCGGTAATAAAAAGCGAACCAAACCCTGGCAATAATTAAACGTACCTTTACCTTCAAAGAAAAGAAAGTAGTCATTCAATGTTATAAGTCTCTGGTGCGCCTCCACCTGGATTATTGCATCCAGGCGTGGAGACCTCATCTTCAGAAAGATATAGCTGGTCTGGAGAAGGTGCAACACCGGGCAACAAAAATCCTCCCAGAGCTGAGACATCTCACGTATCAGGAAGGGTTGAGGGCCACAGGGCTAACAACACTACACACCAGGCATGACAGGGCGGATCTCATCGAACCTTTAAAGTACTAAACAATTTGGAGGATGTCGATCCAGACACTTTCGTCAAAATGTCAGATATAAAACGAACGAGGAGCAACGGGTTCAAGCTCAACAAGCAACAATGTAGGACAGAAAACTGTAGATGATTTTTCACTCACATGGTTGTAAACCCGTGGAACCGCCTACCCGCCAAAGCCGTAACCGCCAAAACTCTGCTGGGTTTTAAAATACAGCTGGAAAAGATCATCAGGGCAAATTGGGTGACCTTTGAAAAGCCGTCGGCTTCCTGTCCTCGTCAAGGCTACTAGTATTAGTGGCCCTCAGGTTAATTCAGGTAAATGATTCAGGTAAAATTCAAGCAAATGAATTTTATAAATACTGAAGTTTACCACTAAATTACAATTTTCTTTAATTTGTCGTTTTATTTAAGAAAATGAAAATTGTTTACGTAAGTTTGTGTAACTATTTTATATCAGTTTTGTTGTTATCGTCCCTCATCAAGATTGTAACTTGCTTAGCTAAATGAGGTAGTACGCTGCCCACTGGATGGGGGGCGGTGTGCAGGACAAACATATCAATTGTGACACTAGCTCTCCACACTAGCTCTCTCATTACCTGCCCGAAACG